CAGGCACCTTGGCCGACGCACTACTCCTACTCGGCAGACTCAGCGTCGCCCTGAATTTCCCCGTCTTACCGCCAGCCGTCACTTCAATGTCGACATTATTGCCGCTCCGTGTCGCCTTGACTGTCTCCTGCGCGTGGTCCGGGTAGTATCCGTACTGATATTCCTGGAGTAGCTGCAGGATCTCGGGCTGGCGGCATTGATACCAGTCATCGGGCGAGGTGATGCGGCCGGCGGCATTGCCGGACATGATGTCCGCCGCCGAGTTGCCGGAGTCGGTCGTGGTTTGGGAGAGGGGGAGGAAGGGGTCGGGAAGCGTGGTTTGGAGGGGGAGTTGTTGCCATGTTGGGTATGTGCCTGCTGAGGGGATGGGGGCACAGGAGACTGCTGCTGGGCTGCGGACGACCAGTTCGGGGTCGGGAGCTGGAAAACCAGTGGCTTGCACCACGAGGGCCGCGAGGGCGAAGAGGAAGCTGGAGATGGACGACATGATGACTCTGCAAAAGGTTGTTATTGGCAGCCTGCGTGCTTGGATACGTCGCCTGGAAATGGAAGAAGACAGCAAATAATGCTTTTCATTCTGCCACGAAGGGACTGAAGTCGACGCCAAGGAAAGCTTTTCACCTGTTATTGAGTGATAAAGCCCTTAATCCCCAAGTGCCGCTGCTCCGAAGAGACACTACCGGGTATTATAATTGGATACAGCATGGGATCAGAAGGTGGTGCGCAGGACACGATGATTGAGTTGTGTCTGACGAGCGCATTGTGAAGCTCCGAGGACCCGCTTGCATCTACTTTACGTTGGAGAAATTTAGAGTCCCTAGGGCTGGGCCAAAGGCCATCTTGAAAGTGTCGCTGGGTATTGAAAGCGCTAACAACCTCTGTCGATCTACGGATATGTAGGCAAAGGGAGGAGCAGAGACATTGAGCAAGACTCTTTCTTAGAGCAGGTCGTAGACTCAATCCGTCTTGGTGATGACTTCCCATTTAGCCGCAAACACTTCGAGAACGGAAGACACACATCTCACCTGCCCAGGTGGTAACCCGTCGGGAATTTTCCATTTATTCAATGCGGGGAAGTTCAAAGTCGGATGTAGGGAACTGGAAGATGGGCTTATTCAACACTTGGGTTACATTCTCATGTAGATACATACTACAATTCACGTCGCAGAGCGCTTAGAAGTACAGTTTGTTTTCAATGTTTTTGTTGAGCCAACAAGCTGGTGGATGTCCCCCAATAATCTGGACCGCCATCATACGATGACGAATCCCCCCACTGACCACAGCTTGTTGGTTTTTCTTGTGTGAGCTTATCTATTGCAACTATGCCTCCTCCGTCTAAAGTGAGCCAGCACCATCGTGCTTCCCAATGTTCCCGTCTCAAACCCTCTTGCATATGTAGGGCGTTTCCATCCGTCAAAGCTCAGGAAGTATTCGTCTGAGATGTTGTTCATCTTAGGAAGTCAGCAGTGCCGGGCTTCAATGTAGTTGGAGTCATGTATATGAAGTGGCCTTTGTAGCCTTAGCATTATGTGCGTGTTTGAATGAATTGATGTTTTTGTGATGTTGCGCAAATACAATGTAGGCCAGGTCTCCTGCACCGCAGTCTGTGATTGTTGATATTTCTGTGTGCATTGGTCATGAATAATGATCAGGTGAACCAGACTGGCAAAATTCGTGTGCGCTTGCATTGCGAAGCTGCCGATTTGGCAGCTTGGTGCTTGTTTGAGCAATTCCTCGCGATGTTATCCAAGCCAAAGAGACGGTAAAGCTTGACTGGTATTGGAAATTCTTGAACATCACTCTCGCCCTGCAACAAGCAGAGGTGACGGCGGTTGCGTAAATCGGGAAGGCAAACTTGCATGGTGGACATTCAGGAGTTGGGATCAAAGGAACGACATCTTCTCACTGTCGATCGTGGGAGGAGGTATAGCCAATACAAATGAAGTTGTGAAATAAATTAAGACCAACTGGATGTTAGCCGTTGGTTTCTGGGTCGTAGTAAAACGCTACTTGGGTTATACTTGTTGAATTAAGCTCTAGTCAACCACTGGCCGTTTGTGGCGTGTGGTCTTCTCGCCTCGATCCACAGAAACACATAGAAATTGACATATTCAGACATGACTAAAACATTAGAGATTTTATATCTTAAACGAGGGAATATATTCTCACAGTGTAATCAAAGCAAAATACTGGATTTATCGTGGGATCATAGTAGAGTAATCATACTGTTGTCGGCCGACGCAAGATCCTTCAAACTATCCAATTTGCAACAGGCTACCCACCTTGACCCGCCTCCACGACTTGTAATAGGCTAAACGTTCAAATCTACGAAAACTCTACCTATGATGAAGAATTTGCGGAAAATATTAATCAGTGTTTTTGTCGTACTAATGGGCCTTTAAAGCTTGGTACTTTGACATGTGATGAAGTACCACATTCATCTGGCGATTACGTGCGTCAAATTCAGCAATAGAGACTAGGATTGCAGCAGAATATTTCTATACGGCCAAGTGTTGCTAAAGAGGTTATATAATGGGATAATCTTGAAACAATTATTACCACTGGCTATGGCTAGATGAATTAACTGGGTGGCTCATGATATCACCATTCTGGGCCCCGAATCTTGAGGGCAACGATATGGGGAGATACCTGATAACTCTAATTTTAAAGAGAATCCAGTACTTGTTCCATTCAAGCAATCGGTAACGACGCCTAAATCTGCACGTGTTTGATTTTCCTAGGTAAGAGACGGCGCACCCAGAGTTAATAAACTGTTAGCACAATATATCCCCCGATAGATGCACTTACATCTTCACCATGGTTTCACTTGACACGTTGGACAGTCTATATTGTGTGATGTGTGTGTATAGAAGAGAGCTGCGTAGTTAGCCGAAGTGATTGTCCTAGATATACTGGCAGGCGCACGAGCCACTGTCCTGACAATCTAGATACACCTGTTAGCTATCAATAAGATGACGTTCCAGCAATACATTCAAGTCCCTGGGGTGGTTGTATACTTGCTCAAGTACCTCATTTCGGATCAAGGGTCGGACTCACCTCACCAGGCTAACCTGGTGAGCCAGGGTTAGCGTGGATTATCACCAACACCCTCACCGGAGGATCTAGTTAGGCAACCTGGTTAGCTTATGGTTACCAAGGCCCAAATAGCTATTTTTAACGTGATGGGGGTCACTGCCAGCCCTGTAGGACCCTATGTAAGGCTTCTTAACTTGAAAATCTCTACAGAATGTCTGGCACCTTGAAACTTCCCTATTATCTTAGTATTCTTCTGGCGCTCAAGCCGCGACTCTTGTACTATGTAGGGTTCAATTGACCCTATAACGCCAACTCCAGTATTATAGTCATCTCGCCAAGCCTCGGCTGAGGCCAGTCCTATGCTCCTGGAAGCTTAAGAGCACTTTTTTCAGTGTTTCCGTGGATTTACCTTCTCCGAGCGCGGTAGGTCCGTCCATCGTGGTTGTGGGCCTATGGCCATAATATCCAGAAAAAGTACTATGATAGTAAGTGTAGTCCCTTTAACGGCCAAATCCACCATAATAATTAACTATCATCTAACTACTACGTTAACAGAGCTTGATAATATACTGATACAATACACCGCGCTGGCACTACACCCGGGCTACGGTTGGTCATGGTTTGAAGAGACTTGGGCTGACCAGAATACTTGGATCAATAAGGCCAAGGCTATGGTATAGAAAGTGTGGCAACAAGACTACCCTAATTTGGACATCTTAGCCACTTCGCCGCCTACTAAGAAGCCCCGGTTTCACGAAAGTTACTACCGAGGCGACGGCGATGAGTATACTACTGCGAGGCTACAGAGGAAGCTATAGCCAACTCGGCCAGCATGTTCCTAGGGGACGGCGCCGGCGAGGTTGGCGATAGCTTCATTTCTCAGCAGTAATTCTAACCATAAACCCATCAACCTCAGCTCACCTCACCAAGCTCACTAGTGGCCAAGATCACCAGCGTTTTGCTTACTAATTCGCTCACCCACCAACCAATGCGGGGTGGTGAGGTGGTTGGCGAGATTAGTCAACCCTTGCTTCGGATATCCGGCCTGTTGTAAGCACTACAAGCGCACGGACCATAGTTCTCTCAATGCTCCCAATGCGCTGTGCCTCAACCTCCAAGGCTCCAATTTGAACGCGATTATTATCGATGAGCAACTTTGGTCTAATGGTTAGGATCCAAGCCTTCCAAGCTTGGGGTCGGGGTTCGATTCCCCGGAGTTGCAATTGTAAAATTTTTGCGCTGAGACGAAGAGACGACGGCGGGACTACCTCCAGGCAAGGTCGCAGACCAACTGGGACGAATATACAAGAGCCGGCCAAAAACAACGGCTCGAAATCAGCGAAGCGCAGACGCGTAGCTGGCACGAGAAGCTCGAGGGGACGGCGAAGGATCACAAAAGCCTGTGGGCACTGCAGAGGTGGGCTAGGCTACGGAGCTGGGCCCCCTCTGAGGCCCACGGCTTGCCAGATCTCCGGAGGGACGCCGGCGACACGCTTACGGCACGTACACATGATGAGAAGGCAAAATTACTAGCTGAGAGGTTCTTCCCAGACCCGTGTATAGATCTATCGGACCTCGATCGCGGCCTATTACAGACGAGACCAGAGCTGAACGTCCCTAGGGAGGTGACCACAATGGATATCGAGTCTATCATCAAAGGAACGGCTGCTCGGAAGGCTCCCGGCGACGACCTGATCCCCACTGGCCTGCTAAAGGCCTGCGGTGAACCCCTATGGGAGATCCTAGCGGATCTGGCAACAGCTAGCTTTAGGCTGGGGTACTACCCGGAGCGCTTCCGCTCAGCGAGGGTGGTTTTGTCATCACGTGACCTGTCCGACTACATGCGACAGCTTTGAGTTCAGTTTCCAATCAGGAAGCAGTCAAGCAAAATTCACCGCCTTCCAAGAGCTGTCCAAAACCTGGTCACAGAGAGAGCGAAAACCCTGGACATCCCCGGGACAAGTGTATATCTGGTGGTGCCCAGGACACGTAGGCATCCCCGGAAACGAAGAAGCAGATGTCCAGGCCAAAGCGGCCTGTGAGCAACCACCCAAGACACAACACCCGGCCTCATTCGCACATATAAAGAGAATCGCGAGATCCTACACTTGGAAGAGTTTCAACGATCGATGGGCCACTACCTGCCCTCAACAGTATCGAGATCTAGGGATCGCTATCCACCCGCGACCCCCCGAACTTGGCCTGCCACGGCAACACCTAGGCAGATTACTCGCAGCGAGGTCGCACCACGGGGATTTCGTGACCTACCACGAGAGACTCCAGCATCGCGACGCACTGCTCAACTGCGGGTGTGGAAAGACAAAGACACCAGTCCACTTCTACTTTTGCAAGCGCGGCCGCAAGGCCACGCCCGGTCATCTAAAAGCGCATATGGCCAAGAATAGTATAGATTCCCTCCTAGGCACGGCCAAGGGAGCTCGTTTGTTTTGTCAATGGGCGGAGGAGACCAATTTCTTTACTGAGATCTGCCCATCGCACTGAACAGGAATGTTAGATGAAGACAGTCCCCTGTAACATAGATTCGACTAGCATAGACCATGCCGGCACTGCGCCCGGCACGTCTCACGCGATGAGACGTTAAATTTCAATCAATCAATCAATCAATCAGCTTGGAAGTCGTTGATATGATGTTTTCAAATCGGGACTTGAGCACTTTCACTTTCCCTCGTAGTATCGTGCTCGCGCCCTGCCATCAATTAAGGGCATCAAGTATCGTCATTGTAGACTTCTGTTTCGTTACTTCACTCAGTCAATCCTATCCGATGCCATCATTTTATCTAGAAGTTTGACTTAGCCATTTTATATCGATCACGTTCCAAAATATTCGAGCGGAATGATTGAATACGAAGAAGTGACGCTGCCTGGCGACTTGACAGAGTGTTGGCACGCAACACTGCGGACCCGAAGAACAATTTGTTTTGTCTAAGCAGCCCATAAAATAGTCCTGGTTTGGGGTTCCTTACCGTGAGATAATGGCCCGATTGGGGTCGTACAGGTGCAGTGACAAGTCTGACAGATTCCATAACCCTTTGTTGAACTTGAGTAATTGGGCAGTTCAACGCCGAATATCACATGGATATGCAGTTCAAGTCACGACGGCATGATAATTCTATGCAAAGCAGATAATTAAGTACTAAGATCGTGTATGTATGCTCTTCGAGATGTAAAGACGAAACATGTAGCTACTCGATGCAAAATGTACTTGGATGATTTTGAAGTTGAAGTTTCCGTTGATCTCAACCAAATTACGCGTCTTCGTCACGTTGTACTCACGCACTGCGTTTTTAATGCTAGTTCGCGTACCTTCCTGGCGACCACCTGCAAGTTCACAGCTATTTAAGACCCCTCCAAAACTCGCACCGCGTCTTTCTATCTTTTTCTTTTGAAGTTCACAACGCAACGCAATCATCATGATCGATTTGCCAGCTTTCAATCCCACATACAGAAACCATTATTTCGTCACTACAATAGCAATTGCCTTGTGAACGTATCATATATTTGTCCAGAAATTTGTATAAATTCTCTGCACTCTCTTTCTGTACTCCTCTTGTCACCCATCGATTAATCCTGTGTCAGGAAGATGACCTCTCCCGACAGGTACTACGCCCTGTACCTCACCCTCATGGGTATAATAATCTACACCGGCAAAAAAGACGACACGGCCATCATCTACCTCCCACTTATGTGGGGAGCGGTGTTGATGCCGTTCACAGCTTTCGAAATCGTGCCGTTCTTCGGTCTTTTCATATTATCACTCTTTTTTCACGCCGTGCTTTCGGCTACTTGCCTTTCGGTTTTCCTCTGGTCTGCCTGGACGTACGCCATCGTGCGTGAGCCCGTCCTCAGCCTGTATTTCCGATTAAAGCACAAGATTTCGGAGCTACGCCTCTGGTGGCAGCGAAGCGTTGCAAAGCTGGACCTCGCGAAGCAGCAATGCCTAGCATGGCCAGGTCGCAAGCTACGCGAGTGCATGACCTGGTTACACTCAACGTTTATCAAGAGCAAGCACACCGTCAACTCTCTCGGTCTGTTCGGTTTGGTCTCAACCACCTTTTGGTCGACCTGCCAGCTCGTGGTGTTGATGTGGTTCGCCGTCGTTCTGATAGTGGCGATGGTGGCTTCCGTGATGCATGTACCTACAAAGTTTGCCATTGCATTTTTACAGGCCTTGAAGTACTCACTATTGCCAAAGAACTGGATCCGTCAGCCAAATGAGATCCGCCCTGAGATACGTCCGCCTCCTCGACCCGAGCCTAACCTGAACGACTGGATGTGTGAAGATCCCCCATCCGCGCCAAAAGGTTTTGCGACCCGCAGCATCAATCTTTCTGCCACCGTCGCCCTCACCAACAGTGCTCGTCACGGCACCCTTTCTACTATCCCAAGGACGTCAGGCTTCAAGAAGAGCTTTCGTGACCAATTATCGAGTATCGCCCCCAGGCCCCCCCGTCTCGCGGCCACATACTCAAACCGACCCCCGTCTCACCTTCCGCCGCCTATCCAAACTTGGTCCGAAATACATGAAGAGTACAACTCTTCACAAACTCCCAAGCTCCCTCCCGACAACCGCGCCTCGTCTTCGATCTCGTCCGTTGGTTTGCCAGATCGTGGTAATGCTGCAGCCAATCCCGCCACTGTACTGAAGAATAGCCCTTGGCTTATGACCGTCAATACCAACAAACTTGCCGGCCTCACCTTCGATGCTCCTGCAGATAGGATGTTTTCTGGATTGGCAACAAGTGCCGGCCAACAGGTTGGCACTGAGATAACGCAGTCCTCTCCATTCGTGCATGAGGATTCCGGAAGTCCGATAGTCGTTGACATCCCGGAGAACGACCCAAAACCTGAGAATCCGATTCGCGTCGAGCAAGAGTCGCTGTCGCTTTATTCGTCTAGCTTCTCTGTTACCGAATCGCAGCACCCCCCGGGGACTGTGACAACGGACTTCGAAGTGGATATGAGCGATGCGCCAGATCCTTCCTCGTCACCGGCTACTCGTTCTACGTCTGAGTTTGTTCGTCGAGCATCCGTGAGATCGGCCACTCGTCCTCCGCCAACTACCAAACTTGCTTTTGCACCAGTGACTGCTGTTACCGCTTCCCTGGCCAAACCCCAAACTTCTAGCCCTCAACTTCTTCCGAGTTCGGGTAATTCTCAAGTCCTGCACCCGGTGCATGGAGTCGAGACGCCCCCGCGTCAAGTGCAAGGAGAGCGCCCCATGAAGAAGCCGGCCAGTCAGCTCGCCAAAGCGAGGAATGCGCCCGTCGGACAAGTTAGTACGATGGTCGAACGCACTACCGCAGACGAAGCTCAGGCGCAGCGTTACTCGGAGCAGCACGCAGGTTCTTTGGATACCAAAGCACCAGAGTTTAACTCAAACAAGTTCCTGTTGGAACGTTCAGCGGCACCGCAGACCCCGAAGACGCCTGACGTTCCTCGCACGGCGACCGCCAAAGGACGACCATCTGCGGAGAAGTCGGAGCAATCCGAGGCCTCCAAGGGTGGGAAAGCTGGTCGGCCTGCTTCGTCGGCGCTGAGGGCGAAGCCGTCCCCGTCCACGCCTAAAGGATTCCTGCCGAATAGCAAGAAGAAGCCCAGTGCCGCGGCGCAAGCCAAGGCGGCTAACGAACGACTTCATGCGGAAGCTATGGCGAAACAAGCAGCCGCTCGCGCAGAGGCCCAAAAAAAGGCTTCAAGCTCAGCACCGTTACTGTTCGGCGTCCCCGGCGGGGCCCGGACAGGTCAAATAAGGACTTATATTGGTCCAACGGTTTCTGCGGGCAGACGTGAGGCACCTTCATTGCCGGAACCAAGAGCTAAAAAGGCCAAGGAGAACTCCAAGTTGGAGAAATCTGACGAGTAGCTGGTTGGCCGGCCCGTTTTTTCCTTTTTCGTGTCCTTGCGTGTGTTGTCCGCTTATTGCAGTTGTCGGCATGCTTGAAAGCATCCTTGATTTAAGCATCTCAAAAAGCTTCTTATACCGACGTGCGACAATTACGCTGGGCCAGTTCATGCTGCAGATCCCTCACAGGAGGGGGAGGGATTCGAGCTGTTGCTGCTATCACATGATTTGGAAACCTTCGAGTCATTAAGTGATTAAATGGTAGCAGAATCCCACCGCGATGTGAACGCGCCGCTCTTCTGAACCGCATAGTCGAGACGACTTATTACGAAGTAAAATCGTGTCACTTAAGCCGGCGAGAAATAGAGTATATTCCATTAATCGCCCGTGGCAGCGGTGTGGAAGAGCTTTCAAAAGCAAATTCCGGATGGCGAATGGTTCAAACATCAGGGCTTCTATCTCCTTCTGCTGTCTTTGCGGTCGATTTTGCAAGGTTGATGTACCCTGTGTTTTTAAAGGCGACCTACCCAGGGTCCCTCTGTGGTTAATTGCACATTTTCGCATCCCTTCTTTCTCCGCCCGACTAACCTTCTTTTGGCGCGCTGTCTAGTTGTATTTATAAGCGGCCGCCGTTTCGAGCAAATCATAAGCATGGTGTCTATATGTATTTATACACGGCCGTTGCCTTGAGTTTGTCTCTACCACATCAACAAGCATTTCGTGGCGATCTTGCCCTCGCCGTCACTGCGCCACTTCACGACAACGCTCTTTCGGTCTCATCGTCGCCATACCTGAGAATCGACCGATACTATACTGGTCTTGTCCTCGCCAGCACGCTGGCTTTCGTCTTTTTCCTGTCTTTTCTTAGCACCTTCAAATTACTCAAAATTACGACTGTCAGGGACCCCCAGCACGTTCAAAATAGCTATTTGAGACTTGGCAACCAAAGTCTGGAGAATGTTGAGGGTATTGGTGATAATCCACGCCAACCCTAGCTCACCAGGTTGGCATGGTGAGGTTGTTCCGACCCTTGGATTAAATTAGACGGGAAATTAATGTCAAAGACTAAAATAAAAACACTGCTACTGCTCCTTGCATCTGGCTCTCCATAATGCCTAAGGGATGCGTTAATGGTAGTTCGGTAGCTCCCAAAACTAGATATCCATCAAGAATATTCATGACTTAGTGGGATAGATATATTCAGTTAATGTTTAACCCAAATTTATTCACCTTACCCAAGAAAAGCGTGTTGCAGTGGGATTTCTCGAATCCTCGAAGATCCTAGTTGTCGGCATACTGCAATTGTTGGCAAGTGCATAGGTGTTGGGTCCTGGGTCTAACGATGGTGTTTCCCGACCGTCTCCCCTGACCAAGACGACTGCATCTGCAGTGGTGGTCGTGTTATCCACTGTTTCCTGTGTTCACCGCGTTGGAACAACTTCAAATTTACGGTCACATACCTTAGCTCAAGATCCAGATTCTTTAAATAGATTGTATATGAAATCCATCAGACTAAAATTAATACTTGCAAATGGGGGACACGATGTGGATTTATTTAAGCTCAGCCTAGCGTCTAATGGGGCAAGTTGAGCTTGAATAGTCTACGGTAATATGGCACGTCTGTGATGAATTTACTATTAGACGTTAGGGGCCAGATACAGATGGGTGACAGTAGTGGGGCATCTGAAGTCACATTACATTAGCAGAAGGCAGAACAAATCTGATATGGTGAACTGGCCCTGTTTTAATTGCGTCCTTATTACCATTGTCCTCTTCGACTACATTTTTCTTTATTATTCTAACATAACGGATAGGACTGGCCGCTTGGCGAAAGAGGCAACTTCAGCTAGGGAGCTTTACGATGATGAGATTCTAGCAGCCGTCACCCAATTCATAAAGTCGACATGGGGGAAATTTTCTATCGTTTTCTCAATCAGAAACCCCATGATATGGATCAAGGTCGAGGGGTGGGACAGATTTGAGCGTGTCAAGCTCGAAGCATGAAACTAGCGGCTAATATGCAAGACCGTCGAGAGTTTCCACGAGAAAGGTGGAGCGGAACCAGCTCCTAGCCACGACATACAAGGGAAACCGCACCAGGCCTCCCCGTGTTCGTCTTTCAGTGTTATTCTATGTTTTCCGCGCTGAGTATTTCAAGTTGCTCATCATGAAATTCGTAAGTAAATGCGCTTGAAGTACAATGCCGCAGAGAAGGGTTTTGTTTAGAAGCCAATACCATCGAAGAGAGTGTTCTTTTTTCATGCTACCTGTTTTTTTAGATGCAAGTTTGTACGTATGCCGATGTCATGATATCGTTCCCGGTCCCTCGGGACGCCTTTGTAGGCCCGATGGGCGGTGGTGCATATTTCAACCACCCAATATTTACGCATGAAAGGACAGGGGAGTGAAAGTCGCCATTTGTGTACAATTCAGTCGACAATTTAACTAAAAAGAAATCAACGAGGTGAGACCAACGAAGTCATAAGTCCCGTTCCTGTGGATCTAGCAAGGAATACAGACTAAGGTAGCTCTATCGTTAATGAGTTCGATGAATGGTATACAACTAACGCATTGTGTCATGGCTAAACGACCCCAATAATAGAAACGTCATGCCTTTCAGCACAGATGTCTACATAGTCGACGTTCTAGCTTGCGGTGATATGCCGCTTTCTTTTAGGAAGTTCGTGGCAAATAAGCCCCATACTGTGAGAAAGTACCTTCGCGATCGTCTAGAGCTGCCATGGGGAAGGGGAGGTGGGGGTGGGAAGGGCTTCGCTGAGTTCAATACTTTCTTGCCTGATGAGTGTGAAGACAGTGAAGGAAGGAAATTCATATACAGGTATTAATATGCACAGATGCCATCTAGCGCATGTGTTCACTCTCTGTCTGCCCTGATTTATATTATTGGTTCCTTCCTCGCAGATGTAATCAAACCAAGGTTATCTAGTCGCGACGAAACTGCAGCAGAGCCAGATCTACACTTCCGCAGGGATTAATATCTTAACGTATTACATGTCCCATGGCTGGCCCACTTATAATGCGAATACCGTGATACGTATTTGTCTCTATAGAATACAGATGGTCTTAGATCAGGTCACCCGGCGTGCATATGAAACTACGTTATTGGCTGTAACAGCATCCGGAGATGCGAGCGCCGCTAACTTACGTGGTGCCAGATGATTCGTCAGCCCCTGCAGCTGTTGCCGCAGTCTGCGCTGCGGACTTCGCTTACTGAAGCCTCCTATTCATAAACCTCGCGTCCAACCCCAACCCCGCCTTCCCCCTTGATGACTTACATACCCTAGAAAATCTCATGTACCTTTTGGGCAAACAATAGAGGTTGGATTTTCAGCCTTTTCAATGGCTCAGTAAATGAGTCGCAGTCAAGGCCCTGAAGTTCACAGGACAGACTCAGAAGCAGTTCGTCTGCGCCAATCCTGCCGGAATTGTGTGTCCAGATATGGTACTTGATCGGGTGCAGGTGTGCTTCAATTTCCAAGGCATGTTTTGACGTCAGTCTGCCTTGAATTTCCTGTAAACGGCCCTGGCCGTCATATAAAGCATGTCCAGCCTATTAGCTGGTGCGATATATTCTCGGTGGAGTTGTGGTTCAGACTGGTTCTAACATGGCGACCTTCCAAGAGCTAGGGTGGACGTAGGTATCCGGCTTTCACAGGGGTCCAATTGTCAAATTTTCAATGCTATTGGTTGCGAGGTGATGCTGCTGCGATAAGAGTCAGCCTGACGGCAGCCTAAAGACAAGCCTTTAGCCTTGGCCATCGACGCGAGATCTGTTGCACCAACCAAAGCTCTCAATGTGTTTAAAGAGGTGGCCTCCTGCATCGACCGGCCGGTATAAGTCTTATCCGCGGCATGCTATCCTGCGTGGCACCGTTCGGCACGAATGGCACTCCAAGGGTGCTAGCCTTGCATGCATATAACAACAGTTTATAGAGAGGCATAATCCACTGTGATCAGTGGAGTATTCCCATGTCGGCATCGTTAATTCTTACTTGGTGAGGATCAAATTTTGGCGAGCTGCGACTTGCCAGGTGGTTTGGTAGGCCTCCAAGAAACGGGATGTATAAAAGGCCCCGCCGTTTCTCATGTCGACCTAAGCAACAAAATAAATAGTTTCAACATAGTTACATCAATTCGTAACACTGAACTTTCTTATTTTGAGGTAGTTGCACCTGTATCGTATACTAGTAAGTTCGAGCGTTTGTGTCTGTCTAATAGTTCTAAAATTTGGGTTGAAGAGTACTCGCTGATATAAAGCCGGTTGTAGTGGCACCGAAGACCCCCGAGAAGCCCATTATGGACGATCCAACTGCGTTGGAGCTTCTATACCAGCCTATAATCCTTGAGAATGCACTGAATCGTGTCATCAAGCAGTATCGGGATGTGTCTGGCGAGTCTCGTGACTCCGAAGGACTCTCTGCATTCATCAGTGGACGCATTTCAATCCTTCGTCAACAAGCTCGCACAGGTATGCGATAGTGACCGAGGTGGAGATACAGTCACAGCAATCGCAATACTCCAAGGGCATGAACACACCATATATGTCGTAGCTTCGAACCACAGAAGTGTCGAGGAGCTTCAGAAGGTGAAGGTCTTTCTTGCGAGACTCCTTGGTTTAATCCACAAAAACCCAAATGAACTGCAACGTAAACCTTTGACTAAACAGATCATTTGGCGAATATTGTCGTTCAACTTCCCCCGAGTGAAGGCGTACTTGGATAATCTCCTGAGGCACCTGGATGCATGCATTGCTGATTGCAAGCGACGGGAACAATCGCAGTCCAGTACCTATCCCGAGTCTTGCCATACAGGTCTACAGCATAACTAACAATTCCAACAGCCTCGGAACTGGAAAAGGAGTTACGCATGCTCTATTCCAGAGCAGACTTTACAAAGGATATTACGTCCGAAAACGATAAGCAGAAGTGTACGTCTATTCACCAGTTGAATGCTATAAGCCATTGGAAATTAATGTGAACGACAGTCCTCAGTGACTGCGAGACACTTCTCAAGAGCATTCACGCGAACAAGGAAAATAGGATCGGCGAGGCCATACTGAAGAAGTCCAATAATAGGGCCATGCTGAGTTCGGAGTCTTGGTGTGAGCTGCGTCACTACCTCGGGCGGTTGCTGTCGTATCGACAGGCCGCTGAGGTTATCGTAGCGGCATACGAACGGTGGCCTGAGCTTTTTCAAAAATTCGCCATTATCCCTGTCCCTTCAAGCACTAAAATGGCCAAGCCCATTTCCAACCCAGAGCTTAGTGCCGCTGACATCGTGAGGAACTTGCTCTGGGAGGATGAAGATCCCGAGCCTTACCTGCAGCAAGCAGCGGACATGCAAGCTATCGGCCTAGACGATGAAATCAGACAACAAATCAACAAGAAGTCTTTCCGGCCGATTGTTCACGCTGAAGTCCAACTTCACTCGGCTCTTATCAGGCAGGGAATAGTCCATCCCCGACAGTTCTGGAATAGGTACAAGTATATCGGCAGCAGCAAACAGACCTGCCGTCTATGCTGGTACTATTTCTGTGCGCACGGGGACGAAATGCAAGTGCGGCCAACGCACCGAAACATTTACCTTAACTGGCGTCTTCCGGATGTTTACAAGAGCCAGGGGCCTTCTGAGGTACGAACACGCCGCCAGCTGCTGGAGCGTTTAACGGACCATGTCCGCAAAGATACCAAACGCACGCTCGATGAGAAACTCCCATCGAGAAGGAAGCACGACTCAACGGACCAATCCCGAGTACCTAGCTTCTTCAATCCGAGCACCGATGACTTGTCAATTCTCAGCGATTTGGTGTCTGAGACGTCTAGACGCTATGCTAACTTGAACCTGGGCGACAGTGATAACCAGGAGATGGTCAACGATAATAGTTCGTGGAGTCTTGTGGTAGGCGAGGATGGCTTCGATAACGAAGAGCAAGAGGGCGGAGCATCTATAATCAACGAGTGAGGACGTGCTCGATTTACCAACCCAGGAAAACAAGCTGTTCCCCTCTAACGTATACTTGTTGCCTTTCCATTTTCAGTCACGCGGAACCTTTTTTCGACTTGTGTGGCGTTATTCATATCCAACGACAAGGACGATTGTCGGGCCGCACCAGCCCTCGACCTCTAACGGCTGTCATTTCCTTTACTGCTTTTACAGTCAGTTGCTGATGAGACAGATGGACCCTGCGCATCAAACCCTTGGTGCACAGCCAACTGCTAGAACTTCAGAAACAAAACCTTTGGTGTATCAGTAACTGATTCAAATGCGCAGTCAAAAGGCACATTTTTCTGTATTTAGGGCCCTTACGGCCACCTTCACTCCTTTGCACTTGGGCACTTAAGAGACACACTCAATTCTATGCTTCGTTATAGCTTGCAATAAGTCCGATAACGATTACGAGAGCCAATGGAGGCCGCTTCGCACACGGAATCAAACTTCAGCATGCCCCTAATACTACCAAGCCAGACTGAAATCTGGGTGATGTCTTACGAGAGGCATTTACAAAACGAAGATTTTACGTGTACGTTCGGCTTATCAAGTAGAAATTATTTTCTCCTGAAATTAGTTAAATAGTGCCTACACGCAGTATATATTTCTCGGAACGGTTCCTGTCGTACTTTAGGCGCAACAAATCCTCATGGAACTTCTCTATACGTTTCTTATCCTTCGCTTGTCTGGCCTGCTCGATAGCGCTCTTGAGATGAGACTCCATCCAAGCTTTAACGTTACTCCTGTCGAAGAATGATGCTTTGTACATCTCCCAAGACTTGTTGCTCCAAAACTCACACAGCACTCCCGACTGGCCGTAAGGTTCAGACTGACTGAAAGTCCTCCATAAATGGACAACGTCCCGAGCGGCGTGCTTTTCCAATTGGAACCACTCCTGGTGTTGTGTCGTACAGTCGGCTCTCCTGCATTCTACCACCTTCCGGTGGTATTTGTGCAGCGATTTATGGATCAGGGCTTCCATTGACCTGACAGCGCACGGCATGAATATGCTAAACTCGTGCACGGCATCTAATGAGCAAATCTTGCCCCAAGTATCAAGCCTTTCTTGCACTTCCGGTGGAGCCTTTTCTTCATCAAGCCCGACGAAGCTCTGCTGCCAGAACATCGAATTCAAACAGCCGTCTTGGTGTCGATATGCAGTCGGTGGTTCGGCCTCCACATAGCCGATCTTGCGAAAGTCCAGGTTGCTCCTTTCTCTGAAGCAGTACACGTAACCCGAGACGTGCGTGGTATTCGTCAGCGATTCGCGGATCCGGTGAATAATACCGTGTATGGGCCGGTGCATGTTGTTCTGCGTCTTCCACTCGCCGAATCTCATCTCGCGTTTTGTGCCAAGTGTTGGCATATTTCCGTCAATCCCCTTCCTTGTAGGCCTAGAACGGAACCTCTGTAGATTGTAGGCTTTGATTTAAGGCATTAGTTAGCCCTAGACAAATATGTAATTCAATCCCAGGAGTCACGTCCCAGGAGTTACGTACCTTGATCCTCTTCGTAATCACTCCGAGGCCCGTATATGGAGTTTTCCCACCACTGGAAGTCTTCCAGATCCATAGACTGCTTTCGGAATAACCGAAGCTTTAGAGCGGGTGGCCCAACGTTTGAGCGCGGGCAGGAGTTATCCAATTTTGAGCAATTCGACCCTAAGTGAGAGTGGGAGTGGCGTCTTCGCAGAATGGGATATTGCACTACAGAGTCGGCGTGTCGACTGTTCTCACAGGTATTAGTCGACACGACCTCATCTTCTCCGCATCCATCTGGAGCTTCGTCGTCTCCAACTGAGGTATATTTTATCAAAGGAGGCGGCAACGCAGGCAATGCTCTTATTTCGGTGATTTCACTCGAAGCATGTTCGTAGCTGAGGTCGTTGTGTCGGTCAACTGTCTTGCCCGTCTTGGAAAGATATGCTGGTCTCGCAAGGGGACTCTCGGACAGAACTTTGCCCAGGAACGAAGCCTCGACGGTTGCATCCTCCTTAAGGGGAGTTTCTTCCGGAATATAGCTGTCCGATAGATCGAAAAGCCTGGTGGGCTCCTCAGAGATGACAGATTCCGGAGACGAGGCATCGTAGGTACTTGGAGACGACAGGTATTGGAGCAGTGGCCTCTCTGGTGTGCGGGGAGGTGGCTGTTCATACAGCTGGAAAGAATCTGCAGTTGGACGTGAAGTATTGATTGGGACCACAATGGTTGCTTATTTCCGATGGAGTACAGGGCGACTAGCTTCCGTCCCAGTCTGTCCACACAGTGCATCCCTCATCGCACTAGCTACATGCCGTTTGGCTTCGTAGTTCACGATTGTTGTCGTTTCGATCGTGTTGTCGTGAGACAATTCATTATACTTGTCCTCGTCTATGATTTCTTCGAGGCTGGCACCAGGTTCAAATTTGGTTGCACTGTTGGAATCGAAGCGAGTCGAAGCGCTGGGGTTGATTGAGACCACATCATCCCCCTTGCCAATCGTTTTTGTGTCTTCGATTTTCTCCACGGCGGTGATTGATGAATGGTACGAGCGCAGGCGGCTCTGCAGTAGTGCCTCAACGTATGCTTCCTGGGTAGCATAGGAATATCCATGCTTGAACACCGGCACAACATGTCCTGGCATGCAAATGGCCGCGCGGGCAACGTCCCGCAGCCGTAATAGAACACCCTCATCCTCCTCACCTTTGCTGCTATTGATCGCCTTTAGCAAGTCGTTCATACGCCCTCTAATGGTGAGGGATCTTCCTCTTCCGAGTACTCTGCTACATTGGCCCGGAAAAGCGGATTTGGGTGCAAAAGCGAAACAGTTGGTACATTCCGAGGAAATTTCCAGGATTTCTTTCAGGTGTTCCACGTCCCTGATGTGCTTCGACAATTGGTAAACATCAGCTTCATGATAATTAGGCATGACTTCATCGATACCGTTCGTTGGCTGTCGTCGTTAACACTAGATGATTTAAACAGATTTAAACACTGCATCGACCAGAATGTCGCAAAGCGCACGAGAAGGATTTTATAGTCTTCAAGGCTCCTCAACCGTGAGGGTATGGCGGCTCGATAGTAGCCTTGAAACTACGCCCGAGAGGCACAGCAGCGGCCGAGGTCTAAGGAGCAGGACATGCACTACCTGAAACATTTTGAGAGCTGAGAGACAAGGATATTCGGCTTGGACGAATATTGACGAGGCCAGCAGAGCATCAGAAGTAAGATTTTCAAGCAACAACTGGTTCTACTACAGTTTGAATTTCGCTCACTTCTAGGACTGGCTCTTAAGCTGAAATTCAGATCGACTAAGCAGATAGTCATACGAGCAGATTTTATTGTAAGAGAGTAGTGTAAGAATATCGTTATTGTACGTTCATCATTTAGTTAAGTCTCTTTTGCTAATCCTTGATCGGTCAGACATTGCTGATAACACTTTTGCGATATTCAATGAAGTGGCCCTCGTAAATCGCGACCGCGCCCCACTACTTGGAAAGCATGATGCACGGGGCTGAAGTACGTTTCGGCGGCTAGATATTACACTGTAAGTAACGGTTTGGTTTGGTGTGGTTGTACCTTTCCCCCCTAGGCGTATCTACTTACCCTCCTTGAAGCATAGCCACTAACTTTCCTACACGGCTATTGAAAGGAACTTATAGGAACACCAAGATTCTATGCCTTTCGCTTCTCCAGTACTGCCAGTGATTATCTTATACTCACCGACCTGGGGGGTGGCATGTACCCGCGTGCTTACCTTCACCGGGAAAGCCTGTCGGACCGCACAGCCTTGGCCCCGAAACGGCTGTTGTTCCGCTTTCGGCTACAACAGCCAGTTGGCAGGATGTTAGATCCTGGGCCCCGAATCTTCTGATGTATCAGCCCCGCTTATGCTCAGGCGAGATCGGCACTCTCGAAATGTGCAGCCAAGAGGCATATTTTCTATACTTGAAGCTGGTCCATCCCGACGGCTAGGCACGCATCAATGCCCCGCCGTCATTGCCCATCGATTCAGCTCCCCGCCCACCGGAATACCGATCAGCAGTAGCGGCCCCCACGAGACTTACGACATGAGGGTGCAAACCTTGAGATTGGCTAGCTCATGGCACTTCAAGCACCACTCGCCCAGGGCCCCGCCGAGACCCTTCCCGCGGCGCCCATTTCGTCCGGGCCACTCTGGCGGATTTTCAGACAATTTTCTAGATCTTGAAGCTCCAGAAGATCAGGACCAACGATGAAACTTGGAAGGGCTCTCGTGGACCTCCGCGCCGTGGCTCAGTGAAGGGGCGTGGTCTCAGGTGGGATGTTGGACTGAACGCGAGTCGACCACACCACGGCCATGCAGCAGTTGCTGCTCGTGAAGGAGCGGGGCCTTGTCGGCCATATCCTTGTCAAGCGCGGGACCCTCGAGTCCGATGGCAATGCCAGCTCTGAGAGCGAAGGCTATCCTCCTGTAGGAGGTTTTCGAGTCCGAGGTCAATCTGTATCGTACTTCGATGCCCGATCGTCGCCGGTCGAATGACGACCAGTCGGACGATAATCAGCCTGATTTCGACCAGCTCGACAATGCGGATGTTATGGGTCCAAAACCACCAGCGAAGTCGAGCGAGGAGGGAAAGGAGGTCAAATTGGACAAGTATGAGGCAAGGCATCTTGAGGATGCCCCTTTGAGGGTAAGAGTCTCTAGTTCCCATGAATCTTCACATCTTAGTGATCATTTGAGATAAATTCCGAGGCGTTCTGTCGAGGGAGTTCGAGTTTTGGGTTTGCAGCTTTTCAGGAGGCATCCTGTGCGAAGATTATCTTGCCTCCCATGGGCTTAAGATGCCATATTCATTGGGAGGAAATATGACGTGGTGAAATAAACATCTGGTGTTGAAGACGTTGAGAAAATGAGATTATCGTCTAGTGTATTCCATAGGACATCCCGAGAAAGTGGAAGAATTGTGATCATTGTCATGCTTTCATCCGTGGCATCTCGATTGGAACGACTCAACGGCATTCCTTCAATTACTGAATAACGGGATCTAGTCCATAAAAACCCAAATCGAATAGACATACGTGTTATAGAAACGCATTTATTGTCTTGAACCCCATGTCTAAAGCCTGAGAGCCAGATTTAGGAGGAAGAGTTGCCGCTTCCCTCTCTAGCTGTCGTCTATTATCTTCAAAGTTCATATGAGCCAGTATTTGAATCATAGACTTCTAAATGTGTAACCAACCGTCTTTATTCGGTCACTTTAGCTCCGAAACTCTCAACCAGAAGCTAATTCAACGCAACCACGACTGCCCGCCCCTTTCCGATCTCTTCATCCATTGCCAGAGGCGGCACGTGCAAGACAGCATTTATTTTCTGGCCCCTTTTTGGAAGCTCCGACAGTGACGATAAATAGAGCTAGGACACGTCATTTCCCCCATGTTCAGACAATCTCACATCAATAGCTGGCTGCTTCTCCTTTCCCACCTTTCCGTTACCTTTCTTAACACCACCCCTTGTACTCACTGGAATGGAGGTTATGCCTATTGTGATATCATGAACTATAGTCTCGCCACCAATTTACATCGACAGATCTCACTCACAAAATTCCATACATTCTTTGTATAACGCGCAATCCTGTGTAAACCGACTGCGTGACACATGCTCCATTGTCAGCTACTCCTACAGGTATCGGTTAGATGCATAGGCTGTTTATGTGCATGGCCTAGCTAAGCCCTCAGCTCACACATGCAGATCGCTGGACTGGGCGTTGGAAATTCGAATGCGTCGATTTCTCGGCAGTCATGGGTGCTGAAATCCATGCCAGTTCGTTCAGACCCCAGACTTGTTCAATTGGGGAGCTTTCAACATGGCGAAGTTGGAATGGTATTATGGATTGTGTGCAGTGTTGGCTGGAGGAACTTGGTATTCACCAGCCACACGCTATGGCCCCTTCTCTTGCCAAGACAAAGCTGAACCTCCAAGCTGCGACTGCTCAATTGTTGCTGCAAGTGGATTTTCCGTTTTGTCAACCTCGAAGCTCCCTTCCGGCAAAGAACAATTGGTGTCGCACACGTCATCCCTCGCTCCCTTGCTAGCAATCGCGTCCGATTCTGTTTCACGTCCCTCGAAGTATCGCATCCAACCTTCAACGACCAATTGCGCATCATGGGGAAGAAGAAGCGTGGCCACCCCGACGTCGAGGATCTCCTCGCGCGGCCATGGTGCTACTATTGCGAGAGAGATTTCGAGGATCTGAAGCTTCTGATCTCGCATCAGAAGGCCAAGCATTTCAAGTGCGACCGATGCGGGAGGCGATTGAACACGGCTGGAGGTATGTGTCTACTTCTACGCATTAAATCCATCGTAAAGCCGCGCTGACAATCTCCAACAACAGGTCTATCTGTGCATATGAACCAGGTACACAAGGAGTCGCTCACGTCAGTCGAAAATGCGCTTCCGAATCGTCAAGGCCTCGAGGTGGAGATCTTCGGTATGGAGGGTGTTCCTGAGGACGTGGTACAACAACACAACCAGCGCATCATCCAGACATTCTACCAGGCCCAGGCCGAGCGATACGCCGCGACTGGCAACCCCCCGCCTGGACAGAGCTCCAAGGGTCCCGCGAAGAAGTTGAGGATTGAGACCCCAGAAGAGATTAAGAAACGATTAGCAGAGCACCGGGCGCGAGTAGCCGCGCAGAAGACGGCGAATGGCGGTGCCCTGAACCACACACCTCCTGTCGGCATTCCAGATGGTCACAGTCCGGGGCAGAGCGCATCCCCTGGCGCGTTTGTATGTCGTGTATCTTTCATGTTCATGCAGAAAAAGAAACTAACCTCTGCAGAACTCACCCTTCCCACCGCCTGGCGCCCAGTACCCTGGTTACCCACAAGGTGCTCCGGCCTTCACCCCTCCCCCGCAATATCCCCAAGGCGGCTTCAACTACCCGCCATCCAGCTTACCGCAACGGCCAGGAAGCAATCTTGCAGCGCCGCCTGGGCTTCCGCCACGTCCTGGCCAGCCTGGATTCCCTGGGTACGCGCCAGTGGCGTCAACGGTGGATGAGCTGGTCGCAGGCGCAGCACGGCAAGGCGACGACATCGACGAGATCATCCGAATGGCAGAAGCGGGCATCAAGCCGCCCAAGAAGCCAGAGCCTGTGGCTGAGGCGCCGGCTGAGGAGCCAGTGGGCGAGAAAAAGTCTAAGAAGGACAAGGACAAGAATGTGAAGATGATATACGAGGATGAAGTGAGTCCCGAGGAGAGATTGGCACTCATGCCGAGATATGCCTTTGTGCCCGAGGCCGCAGCTTGAGGGGTGTCTCTGCTTACAGGAGCGGTTGGGGCGGGGAAACTGGGAGGGATTGTATCATATTGGTGGTAACGCAACCAGGGCCATTGCCACGCTGTTTAGGCGGTGTATAGTGAAAAGAAAGGTAATGATTCTGCCCGCTGCCGCATTTCTCACTGTTTGTTGCGTTATATGTTTCGTCCCAGGCCTGGATGACAACGTTGGGCTCACCACTATTCAGTCCAGGCTAGCGTTGATTTGGATAGTATTGGAAGTGTTCTGCAAAGCTCTTTGGATTTTGTAAGGCTGCCGGCACCATGTCACCGGCTTGGAATGCCTCTGGATGCCAGGCTCGGACGACTTACATCGATACATGTCAAAACATTCACCCTGCCTTACTTGACGTATTTGCCCAACAGGTGACGAACCAACCATTCCAAGGTTGCGATTTCTGCATCGAGGGGGAATTCCCATCCTGACATGAAGACTGTTGTGAATCTGTGATCCGTCGCTCTGTTCCATATGGGTTGCATTAGTTGACGTCAGCAGAATTTCCTGATTGGGTAGGTCTTCAGAAAAGTTAGCGCTGTATATGTGTAATTGTTACAGAGGTTGAAACTCCGCGCAGCTAAATTCAGGACAAAGAACTTGCCAAATCCGGATCGGTCTCCAGCATAAGTTCTTCTCCTGGCATGGCTACTTTGGTGGCAAGAAGGCAATCAAGGCCATGTGGGCCATCATTAATAATGGGTTTACAGGGAAAACCTACCATCATTCAGCTTCTAGGCAGTATTGTAAGCCTGGGGCACAAGGCTTCCCTCGCTGCCTGGCATGACGTATCATCTAGGAAATTTCATGGGAGATTCAGTTTGGTGTTGACTTGAGAGGGACATTAGAGACGCAAAGAGATATGCAATTTGTACCGGTAGAAATATAAATTAGCTGGCTACAGGTTTGTCCCAAAACGACTCTACATCGTAGTATAGTCTAAAACCTTTGCAAGTCTACGTTCATATATGTGGGCTACCACTGGCGATGCTAATCGTCCGGAAGTTCAAATATCACAATACCCACGAGAAATTATCCAACTTTGATCTGACGATTCCCCGGGATGAAGACCTGGCATAAATAAATAAATAATATTAAATACGCCGTAGGTGTTAACCCTCGGTACCTCTACAAGTACTCCCTTAAGGGGCTATAGATGATATAGCGGGCCCTTAAGCCGCGTCGGGCGGTTATACAGGTAAACTTGTAGCCAAATGACTACTAAACCTCCTGTCCCTCCCTAAGTCTGTGCTACAACCCCTGCCTGAACTACCGATAAGTGTGGTAATGTGGCACTTAAATTCGTCCTCAGGGGTGGGATGCTGCTGATGTGCAGAAGATGCTCGACTATTTTTTTTGTCGCGACAAGTCGTAGTATCTGCTAATTGGGGTTCTCGTCGAGCGTATACATCTCAACCATACGCTCAAGTGGATAGACCGTAACGTGGTCTAGACGCTCGCAAGAATCGCGGCGAGAGGGGGTCCGATAAGGGGTCGGATTAACGATTCGAATTCTGGACCGGCTGTCGAGTTATATTCCGCCGACGTAGTGCTTGACGGTCGACTGGCTAGGATGCTCGTAATCCTAAACTGCACCAATCTCCCTATTATCGCTAGGTAGGCGAAGTCAACAAGGTGGGCAGCGCGCCGTAAGGGTTGACTAAACCCCCTTGTGTGTCAGCTGCGGGATTCGAACCCGCGACTCGTCACCGACCCAAGTGGGCGAGGCTCAAATCGGGACTTATCTACCAGCGAAGTGACCAACTACACCAGCCGACTGGCATAAATAAAACTATTCACTCCTGAGTGCGCTGCGTACGGTCAACGTAAGGAACCCCAGTGTGTTTTCCCTGGTCCCCAAATAGACCCGTATGACCGAGGCCCTCCAATATCGGCTGTGCTTTTATGCTCTGGGTACATTTCAGGCGGTGCTCCTCCAACTACAGATACACGGTAAGAATTGCTGCTTTTCAATTCCACTGGCTTTGCTGGCTTTTCTTCCTCCTACAATGCCTGAAAACCAGGATTGCGCAAGCAATGATGGACAGGGCAGCAATACAAACGCCAACGCCAATCGCAGCTTGTGTTCCAGATGGTTGTGGTGTGGCTGTTTCGATAGATGAACCGCTTTTTTAAGTATAGACACGATAGTGGATGCAGTCGTCACTAATGTTGAAGTCGAAGTGAATATCGAAATCGAGGTCGAACGAGAAGTGGCGCCAAACCTGACAAAGACGGGCACATCAGCATCGTCCAGATGAATTAATTACTTATACCAGGGTGATTTATACTCGACACCATAGCATGATCCTAGGTCGCCCGCTCCTTGCGCTCCCTTAAATGTTCATAACTTTACCGCATCGAACTTCAAGTGTGATATCATTTGTATACATTGGCGAGTTGATATTGTCGTTCCTTTGTACCCACGCAGACCATGACACTCAATCCACGTCACCTTATTTCAATGGAATGGGAGGCTCTGCTGTAGGCGTAAGGAAACTTTTCTCAGGGATCACACTTGCTGTGATGACTGACAGGAATACAGTTCCAAAAGATATTCGTGATTGGTCTGCCATCACGAACAGGTCGTCGTCATAGCACCGTATTGGCCACCGCAATTAGTAGACTTGAGATTGAATTAATCGATGGTGTCGTGGGCAGTACCCTTCCGGATCGGGTCATTCCAATAGCCCCTGGTGAGAAACGAGACCCATTGATAGTATCCTGGCGCGGGCATACGAATGCCGTCCAACAGTTCTTCCGGGCAAATCTCACCTATGCCTTGATCATGGAGAACCACGTGGATTGGGATGTCAGGATATGAGAGCAGCTTTATGGCTTCGCTCTCTCGTCGCAAGCACTGACGCAGCCTCTCTAGGGAGCCACATACTCCCACGCTGGTTCAACTTTGCCGAACGGCTTCAAAGAGCAGGCCCCTATGGGATGATTGGGATACCCTCGGGCTCGGGCACTGCGGTGTTAACTATCCCTTGCCCGGAAACCCCAATACCCCAATGCCACATCGTGCAAATCGACCCTCACTTGTTCACTGCACCAATGCCTGTGGACCATCGCGAATCCAGACGATGTCAAGGAGCATTCCCTCCATATAAGGGTTGCTCATCACGTTCAAGGTGTCTGCTACCTCTTATACGGTGTCTCGCATAAGGGAGCGCGCCACCTCCTGTATGAGCTCAGTCTGAAGAAGTTCAACGCTGCGTACGACATTTCTCTTTGCTGGTTGTTTGAAGGGGTTGTAGGGAGGCGATATCACACTTGTTTGACGGTGCAGCCGTCGTTCTCCCAACATTTTTGACCTGCTAGCCGAAAGAGTACGGACAGTGATATCCCAGAATATTTCGGAACACGGTGAGGATGGATGCGGGACGCATAATGGCGGCTGAAGAGTTGTCAGACGCATACCCGGATATTGACTAACTGCACCCTTTATAATAGAAGGGATTCATTATCGTCATATGTCACTGGATGTGTAACAAAGGAGCCCGTCATCCACATTTAAAATAGTAGTATCTTGCCAAGGGTGTGATCTTGTGAGAATCACTGAAAGGAGTGGCTATATAAGCTGGAACGAAAAAGAATATCAGAGGTTTCAACAACCAGAGCGAAATCACTAATGATAAAACACTTAGTGGCAACATGATTAATTCGAGAAAGCCTCGGGTCAAGTTTCATATGACAAGAATTAATTGGTCCAGTCGCAAAACAGCACGGTACCCACTCTTCCCAAATCTCGTTGTTCCTGTATCCCAAGTAATCTAGCAAGTGACAACCGCGGGCCCAGGGGCAGTATACGACGTAGGAACAGGGTAGTATATATTCAACATAATGCCGGGGTCCGTAGCGCTGTAAGCTCCAGGGAAAGAGACACCTGAGAATGTCTTGGTTCCACTCCCAGTAACAGTAAGTTGCGCGCATCTAACAGTTTGTCAGTCAGCAATTACATAAGAAAAGAATAAAAGGCTATATCACGTACGAGATATAAAACTGGGCACCCCCGGGCGCACTAGCCGAATGCAACGCAATATGCTCCACCCTCAACAGATAATCCCCAGGAGCCAAACACTGCGGAATCTTAGCTGTGACCTGCTTCGCGCCCTGGCTGGGCCAAGTCAGTCCCCCCGCCGCAATATTAGGCCCCTGCGAGAAGATCTTGAACCAGACGGCGCCATCGCCGTCCCAGTCGGCCGCCGTCTGGCCCGCGGGCACCTTGGCCATATAGAACTGCAGCGTGCCTGGGTGTGAGACAGAGGCATCGGCTGTGAAGCCCACGGTGGACCCAGCGGCGACCGACATGGTTTGGGCGCCTTCGCTGCCCGCAGCCAGTTGGTAGCACCGGATTTGGGAGGACGAGACGTCGGTCACGGGGCCATTGGATTGGAAGTTGGTTGTTTTGCGGACGTATTGCCATTTCCCTGTGGCGGCACCGTCGGCTACGAAGGCCGGGAAGGTGTCTTGGAGGGTCAGCTGTGAGTTAATGGAGGGCATGATCAAGATCTTACAGTGGGCCTGCACGGCTGACACCAACGCCAGCAAGGTGGTGAGTGTCTTCATTCTGAGTTTGAACTGATTACGTGTGTGGTGAGAAAAAGCGGAAGAGCCGTTCAAAGTCTTGGCTGGACTATCCAGAACATAACCATCGGGAGCGTTGTGCATCATGATATATGTGCGTCTCCTGATGATCCGGCACTTACTGCCGAACCAAGACGAAGAAGCTTCTATGTGGTACTGCAACCATAACCATGGATAGTATTGCTGTAATGTCTTTGGATTGCGGTAGTTAGCCTTCCGAGCGGATAAGCCCAGTGGTTAAATTCGCACGCAACGTGTATACCATTTGGCGAATTACAGCGCATTAGTCTAAATTAATCGTGTTCCATCCTGGAACTTCATGATCCATTCACATGATTTGAGGTAGTAGTGTCAGAAGTATGATCACGGGCACGTGGAAGTGTTTACGGCAGGAAACGGCCGGCTGAAAGGCTGTGTTCCAGTACAGACAAGGTGATGGTCCACCAAACCATATATTATGTGCGATTACCGGTATTTCATTAGGAGATACTGCCATTAGTTTCGGTAGAGACGCACGAAACGGCACTTTTGATATCAACCACTTGACGCGCGAGATGTTCACTCCTGGATATATGATGCTCATGCACTCATATCATGCATAACCAAGTTAGCAGTGAACCCGATATCCTGTTATATCAGTGGTTCAAAGCTATAAATAGCTTAATTCACTGTGCTTTCCCGGCAGGCATGATGGGAACCATCATAAATGTGCATTTTCATCTAAATGCTTTGTGCTGTTTTCGCACAGATGAGTCTTTTCAGCAAGGCCAAAGTAAGAGAGAACTGTGTGGTTCGACGTCCATAAAAGTTCATAGCACCATAGTATCTCCAGCCCGAATATTCTTATAACATATCAACTCATGGAATCCCGTAGATGTTACGACTGGACACACTGGTGCCACAACGATAGTTTAGGGGCGTAACGAGGCCATGAGACCACGATATCATCAGATCTATTCCCAGCCCCTATTCACAAGCACACGAATATCATACTTTAACATCCCGGAAATTGCTTTTATACTACCAACGACTTATGAATATCTTGTTAACATGCTCTATCAATCCCATCAACCGATGCGTCTTTTTATCAAACGTCCCCAACAACTCCCCATCAATATCCCAGACCCTGACCTCCGTCCCCGACCGCTCATCTACACTAACTCGCCAGTCCAGCTGCTTATGTTTCACGTGTGTCGTGTTGATCGTCTCCATCGACACCCTGATCACCTCCTGGGCCAGCTCCAGCACCTGGTACTCCAGCCCGTAAAGCTTCATCTCCGTGTTGTAACGCGTGAGCCAGTCTGCTGCGCTTGCACGGGGTCGCGGCGGCTTCCAAAATTCGTCGTCGTCGTTGTTGCTGTCATCTGGGTTGCTCTTGATTTGGTGCCCTGAAGACTGAAGGGAAAAGTTCGACTCGATCATGTGGTAGGCGTGGAATTCGCACCAGTGCTCGCGTTCCCGGGCTAGATTGAACAGGTTGTCGGTGACTTCTATTAGTCTGTCGTCGATATCCTTGAGGCACTCGGTAGTTATAGCAGATCCCCGTGCTTTGCTGAACACCGTTGGGACGCCGTTCGCAATGTCTTCATCGTCACTGTCGTAGCCGTCTTCGATGTTTTCAGCGCTGCCTTCACTACAGGAGATAGTGTATTCGGAAGATCCACGGTAGCATACGCAGCTGTCCGATGTATCTTCGCATTTGTAGCGCGATGGAGGATCATTCTTGCCCATATCTTCGCTGCGAGGCGTATACACTGGCGCCGACGTTTCGTTGCGTTCTGCGGAGTCCTCGCCCTGACGCGCACGCATGTTCCGTTTGTATGGAGGCAGCGACGTCGAGTTGCAACTCGACATGCCGTGGGATCCCTCACTAACATAAGTCCTGTTATCCCAATTCCCAATACCTTCCCATTTCCTGCACGCCAACCTTGGCGAAATAGATCCATCGCTCCGATATGGACGAGGAGGTCTCACCAGAGTGGTCCTGTCCTGTTTCTTCCCACCGTGTCGTGACTGTAAACGTCCACCGCCAAAATACTTCATTGAAAAGGCTAGCAATGTTCTTGATGAAAGGAAAGACAAACGAATAATAACAGTTGCATTGGGCGCCGCTGGACTGAGGGGTCAAGGAAGCATGGAAGTCTCTACTAACAAAGTCGGCTGGGAACAAGGCGCGCTTTGTGGTCACTAGCAGAGCCGCTATAGCACAAAGAAGTCGTACAAATAACCTATGCTCTTGGCTTTCAGGGAGGACAATGCCGGCAATTCTGAGGGCCCACGGCCGGAACAAGACCTTCTGCATAATGAGATCCCAGTGCTTCCAGTCCAGGCTTGCGGCGTCAATGCAATGGTTCCCATTGTACCGCTTATCCACACCCTCAAGTCCAGTTACGTCACCTTGTGCCAGGTAACATCTAGAACCTACCGTATTGTGATCCCTCATCCGAGACGTTTACCATAGTGATGATGGCCCCAGGGTAAAGACTTAATCGCAGTCCTAGAATTGATTCTGCCCGCAGAAACGCAGAACTGAGTAGTATATGAATATGATTTGTCCCTTGACACCCACATTTATGGGAGATCTGAAGGTATTCGGTTGATTAGAGGGTCTTTCGCAAGCTAGTATTTATTTGTGGTGCTTGAAATTAGCATGCTAGAGTATCAACAGCGGATCCTCCCATAATTCCGCCGGGAACCCTGTCCTCCGGCGAGATACCCCTGTAAACTCAAATCGGGGGAGCCGTCCCGACCCGTTGTTGCAAGTGGTCACGATAGCTTCTCCAGCTCCGGCGTCAGCGCCACCACCTATTACGAAAATCTGGGTAATTTCAATATATATAAGTCCAAGTTTCTGGGCGAGACTGCAGAGTCGCATCGATGCTGTATTGCGCCGAATGGGGTTCTAGGGTTCTGAACAAGGCCTTTTACGGCAGCGGAGGATCCGGCCGGTTGTATTTGTTAATGGTTAAATGGAATGAGCCTCTGCCGCTAACAATGATCGTAATCACTTAAGTACGCACACCGTTTCGGCTTCGAATCTTTGGTACTGGGAAAGATGTTTCGAAATTGCTCTCTTTTGGTACTGTTCGCTGCCATAATAAAGGCAGTCAATGCCGTGACGTTCATCGTCCCAAATGCAGCTGGTGCGGGAGGTTACAAATATGCGCCTCTAGACCCAGCACCAGTGGGAATATCGTGAGTTTTGGCCACAATTGAACACGAAAGCTCTTAGAGCGACTGAAATTTCGTCACAGATTCGAGTTTTTCGCCTTTCCGTCATATTTCACCAATGTCTCATCCACGAACCAATGCCTCGCTAACTGGAAAGACCTCACCGGGGTGTGGCCGCCCATCCGAATCGGTGGCACTACCCAAGACCGAGCACAATATGACCCAAGCACCTCTGCCTTTGTCGTGTACACCGTCGCCAATGCTGCCGACGCACCCTCGACGTTGACTTTCGGGCCAAGCTTCATGACACTGGCTGCCAACTACCAGGGCAGCGTTGTCGTCGGCCTCAATAGGGGAAAGAACAACATCGCCAACACCATTTCAGCAGCCAAGGTAGCGGTGTCGCAGATGAGCAATCTGCTGGCAATCGAGTTGGGAAACGAGCCCGAGTGTCCGTCGTCCCCATTGCGAGAACGCTCGACTCCAGCTTGCTGATTTTGTGAAGACTACGCCAGCGCTGGACATCCCATCACCTCTGGCGGGTGGTCCCCCACTACCGATGCTGCGTCGCAAAACAACTGGGCCGTATCAATCGGCTCAGCAGTGGACAGGATGCCTATCATTCAAGCGGGAAACTCGAATGATGCCAGCGGAAGTCCACTGACGTGGGGCGCTGCAGAGCTGATCGCAACGCAGAATACAACCGTCAAACAATACGTCAAAACTTATGCGCACCACAACTATCCAGGCGGCACGGTTACTTCATTGATGAGCCATTCCGGCATTTCGACGAATCTGCACAAGTTTGACGGGGATATCGCCGCTGCTTTGAGGCAGGGCAAGCCGTACGTGTTTGGAGAGACGAACTCTGGTAAGTTGAGTCGCATTGAGGATCCGTTCGAAGCCAGATATTGACACTCGACAGTCTCTGGAGGTGGTGCCGCCAGTGTATCGCCAACTTTTGGCGCAGCCCTTTGGACGATGGACTATGTACTCCGCACAACATATAGCAATATATCGCGAACATACTTCCACCACGGAACAGTTGGGAACTGCCAGTACTGCTTCTGGGGTCGTTACAGCATGGGCGCACCATACTATGGAGGCTACGCAGCAACAGCCTTTCTCGCCAAAGGCTCGTACCTTACGGCGCTTGATGATGGAAAGACAAACTATGCCGCATATGTATCATTCGATGCCAGTCGTGCTCCCTTGAGAGCCTTGCTGTATAACTCGGATTACTTCAGCGGGAGTGGTACTCGTTCGAGCCAGGCTTTCGTCCTGGAAGGAATAACCGGCAACTCAGTCCGCGCAAAGAGATTGACTGCCGCCAGTGCAATGTCGAGACAGGATCAAGGCCAGTTGCCTACATTCGGGGGGCAAGCTTTCGTGGATGGTGATTGCACCATCACCGGTACCGAAATGTATGAAACGGCGACGGTGGCAGGTGGGCAGGCCACGTTCACTCTGAAGGCTAGCGAAGCTTTGGTCGTGTATTTGCAATGATGAAGGAGACTATCCGTACCAATTGGGTCGATGCTAGGCAGTCATCATGCCAATACGTTGACTTCATTTCATGAATCCCAACGTGGTCAGAGCGTCCCTGATTTTCTTCAAGCCATTCACTTCGGACTCCGCTCTTTCAATCAAGACCTCGCACCGCAACCTTAGTACCTGTCTGTCCTTGCTAGAGCCTCCCAGGTCAGGTGTTTCCGTGACTCTAGTATGAAGCTGTTTAGCCCAATCAACCAGAAGAAATGCCATGTGAACTAAGAGGACGGCCTGCATCGAAGAAGAGGCCTGAGTCGAGGCAACGAAACTGCCCACCCTCAACTTGGGGATGCACAGTTCGGGCTCCTTCAAGTAGTCGGGCGAGGCCAATGCGACTTTGGCGCACGACTTCACGTGGGTAATGAGATTGCCGAGGACTTCGGTAAGTCGGGTGTGAGCACAGACGAGAAGATTGAACAAATATTCGTCGATGTGCATTTTTGGGCGGCTCATCTCGTTGAATATGCCATCCAGTGGAGCGGGCATGCCTTCACGGTGGACGCAGTCGGGGTCCTGGCATTGTTCTCGGTCCTGCTCCTTAAACACAAATCCCAGCACGCGTGGATACAGGTCTACTAAACCCTGCGCGTGGGTGAAAAGCTGCTCAAGGTATCGCTGCTGGTTGTACTTCTCCGCGTACTGGGCAGCGAACTCTTCGATGGGGCAATGCTTAGAAATGTGGATCATTGCAAAGGCCGAAATGGATAAGTAGACCTCATCAATGCCGGCTGCCAGTATAGTGAGCTGATGAACACAAAAGGCTCTGGGATCCTCGGGTGCTGGATTAGGGTCGGCGGCGATGTCAACTTGGTCCGGTGAAGGTTGAAGAGGGACCACGGCCGGTGTGCTTAAGGAGGCGCCAAAATCAAAAGATGGCCAGCCTAGTTGCATGCCGATATCATCTGAAGGGATCGGAAAAGGGATATCCGTCTCGTAGCTGGGTGTAGCCAAAGCTCGTCTCGCACCAGGTCAAGCTGGGCTGAAGATACAATGTGCGCCAGCCTTCATGCATCGGGTGCAGATTGAATTGCCGGGTTGTTTGGGACACTTCAGCTTGTGCGAATGGCAGCGGTCACAAGACGTTCGCAGAAGCCGTGGCATATTCATCTCGAGAGATTCTTGATTTCATTGACGATTTGCATGAATTTCGAAGCCGACTGATCAGTTGCATCAATTGTAGACTAGAAGCCAAGTCAGCACTTGTCGCCGTTCGCCGTTGCGATCGTTTTACCATAAAGTCACGCGAGATCGTCCCTGCTGAGTTATCGCAGGGGCTGCGGAGGCAGGCTGCTGGATGCATATCCTTTTCTCAAGCGCCCGGGATCCTGTCCATTTTGATTTGACGTTTGTGCACGTACGAGTACATAGTTGAGTTTGCTTTGTTCTAGTCAATGATCGTAGTCAATGACCGTGTTCCAAACAGGTACTCTCAAACTAATGAAGTTTTCAACGTCCTAATTTATCTGTCACCACATCTCCGAGTTTGACTCGTCACAGATTCTCACAAATGGGAGGGATGAGCATTGGGAACTCCGAGGACCCCACCTTCCGGCATACCTTACATCTTTGCTCTCCGTCGTCTCGCTAATGCCGCTCGGTTGCAGTAAGATCTGCTGATGAGCGGCACCTGGGTATTGCGACCTCGAATGGGCGGGCGAGCAGATCAGTGCCCAGAATGAATTAACATGGGCATGTCTTGGTGCAGCAGATGTCTCACTCTCTTGTCTGACTACCTCTTCCTGCCTTTCTCGACTTGCCATGCCGATCAATACTTTTCCGTCTTGTAATCGTGCGTCCACTTGTCACCTTCTCCGGACCTTCGTCGGCTTCACGTTGCTACCGTCTGGCGCTTAGCCGAGCAAAGCTTCTTTTTTCAATTGAGAACCCTAGGTGCCTGATGTCGAAGCCCGCATCAAGCTGAGGGCTTCCACATGGACCTCGACACGGTTGGTGGTCTTGTCCAGGCACTGGTGTCCACTTACTACTGGGGTTTGGAGCTCTACACCAAATGGCAACAGAGGAGATGGCAGCAGAATCATTATCGCACACACGAGGGCAAGCTACCGGGAACAGGAAGCTGTGCGCTGAGCACTTCGCTCAGTACTTCGGGTCTCAAGATTCGCGAGATGTTCGATATCAAGGCCGAAATGCTTGGCACTGGCTTTTCTCTCGGTGATGGTAACAAGTCATTCGTGTCGCTCCGCTGACAGATCCGTCCTGACGAGTATTCTCAGAACAATGTCGCGCATTGCTTCGAGCGAACCTCGAGCAATTGGAATCACGCGTTAGAATCCTGCAAGACGCCATAGAGGCTCGCAATCAACCCTTGGAGCTGTTCGAGGCCATCAGGGTCTCCGAGGCAGTGCGCATATCGTCGTTGACTGCGCTGACTAAGCAATATCAACGAGCGGCCATTGGCCGTCTCGTACCTCGAAAGTTGCCCACGAGACAACAAAGTACCCCAACCCCTCCTCCGCTTTCCGATGCGGATGTGCTTCCCTCAGTCGGTGGTGATCGAGATGCACGTACGCCAGTGGACCATGATGCCCAGACGACATGCCACACAGCGAGCTCCAGCAAATCCCCCTTTAAAACCGAGCCCCCTTCCCCTCCACCGACACCAAAGTTCATTCCCGACGACTTGCAATCCACATGTACGTCCGAGTTCGGGCCCCGTCCCAAGAACAGCGTCTTCAGCATCTTCTGTCCAGAAGCAATGAAGCGCCAGGTTGATCTGAGGATGTCCGTGCCGCGGGAAAGGAAATGTATCCGCTGCGATTACGAATGGCGGGGTCACAAGACGGAAGACAGACAGGCAACGATGGTGAAGGATGGCTTTCAGTTGACGCCAAGGTTCTTGGGGAAGTCACATTTTCAAGGCGGATTCGGGTGCGTCCTGTGCATATCGAGCGGAAAGACGGAGGAATATGAAACGGTTGAGAACTTAAGGGACCATATCAATGCCGCTCATAACAAGTGGCAGATGCTTCATGATCGGGATTTACATATGGCCGGTCGCTAATATCGGAATTTGGAAAAGGGATGGACGGCATTCGGTTCAAATGTGGTCGGTTGTACAACAAAAGATACCCTTAGCAACTTTTTAATGTGAATTATTACACTTTTTGAAATGATGTCAAGTCCGTAAGGACGGGCCAGCACGAAGACTCGTTGATCATACCACAGCCTATCATCGTGACGTGCTTGCGTTTCTCTGGACAGGCTTGACTTAGGTCCTTAGGTCCCACGTCTGGCTAAGCAACGGAAGTAAATCCACGGCGTACCAAATGTCATGTATCACCTCCATCGGCTCTATCACAATACGCAAACACGGCCAATTACGCAATGGCAAGAGTACACTTCGTCCCAATCCAGAACAATCATGCCGATGCCCGAGAAGCAACCCGCCACGGCACGATGCCAGTTCCAACTCCTGTATGAAGCTCCTCGAAAGCAGCATCATTCCGGGTTGGCCTTTTGATGTTTCCTCAGTCGAGTTTCCTCTACATGCATTCCGAAACTTGGTAAGCAACAAAAGTGTGCCACAAGGTACATTGCTCTAACGAACTGTCTTCCTTTTGTCTTTCGTCCATGGTCCTCAGGAGGATCTGGTCCCGCCTATGAGCACCAATATTTTGAGGGAATTTGGTGAAAATTCTAGACCTGTGAAGATGGCTGGCCGGTGGAACTATTGCAACAGACTGCTGCGATGCCTGAGGAACAGTCTGGGAACCTGTCAAGGATCTATTATGGAACTTGCAAATCAGCCTGGCCACCTTTCGAGTCCTCCTCAGACTGACCTAATAAATTCAAGATGACATTACTATCTTCTACTTTTATATCGCTCATCTCATCAGAACTACGCTTTTCATGTGGTGAAAAATAACTGTGTCGTGGTCTTGATCGGGCTCGATACTAACACCGACATCATCCTTGGTATCCTCTTCGGGTTTGCATGCTAATAACTCCCAAGTAGCACTACAGTGTTACACTTTCTGGATCGAAAATGAGTTCAGTACAATTGTCATTAGTCATTACACCTACCGGCTCCCCCTTCCGGCGCTTCGGCAACCAGCTGCTCTGATTCGACATTCAAGTCTGAACAGTTACCTTGTTCAACACCACCTCGCGTGCAAATGATGAAAATTTCTACACAAGAAAAGTTTGGATTCCTCCAGAAAGCTTGGGCGGGTACCGCTTGGTTTTGGAACGGAACAAGCGAGGCGGCTCGCCCTAAGGAGCTGTTACGCGCTTGTCAGGCATCTAGATGTGTAGGTCAGTCGCTTGAACATAATTCTTGGTAAAGGAAAAACACTCCGATATCGTCAGGAGAAATTTCCCCACCCCCTTTGATCTTATTCGAGCCTTCTTGGTACACAATCATTTCCGGTTGCACATTGGACTGGGCCACGAAGACTTGGGCTAGTTACAGTTTGGTAGGCACCGTCCCACACAAGATCTGATCTTGGTCAGACAAGGCGTGGTCCGTGGGTTAGTTATTCTGTCGTTCCGCATAAGCAAATTCACTATGGCAGATTAAAAAAAGAGTGGAAACCAGTTGGTCAATAGTTCGCCTTGATGCCATGGCTATAGCCAGGAAAGAGTATATTATACGTGGCAGAACTGTGAGGAACGGACGAATATCTAGAAAAGAGAGCTAAATTGCTGCAACAGAAAGCCCAAAATGAGTAATATGATTATTATATTCTCGATGAAGTAGGTCCTGTATACGTAGTACAGAACCGCATTTAATATCGTTTAAAGTACCTCCTCTTAGAAGGTATATTAATTTCTCGTATCCATCGTATATAATATTTTTCGAAGGGTCTACGATGATATTAGGGCATATAAGCGTAAGTTAATACTCGTGTAATCTAGTATCGCTCCTTAATACCTACTATTATCTTCAACAACACTTCCCTAAAGCTAATAGTACGTACTTATAGAGGCCCAAATTCTATCGTCATGTTAATAACCACAGAACGTCGGCACTAACCGCTCTTACAAGGCCCATGGGGAGCCACATTCTCCGCAGACTCCGGCTTTATATTCGGCGAGCAGCTCGGCAATAACTATTACATCCTCTGCCGCCGATTAAATCGCCAGCCCGTACAATCGCCCAATGCCGCCTGGCGGGGCGATACGCAGTGACAGCACGCCTCCCGGTGCTGGCAAGCAACTTTGATCTACGAGCTGATTGGGGGAGACTATTCACGAATCGTGTGGTGAGTTTCGATGGTTGACATTAACTTAATACGTGCTATTCACTATGTGTGTGTTGTCGTTTAACGCATCATGTCGTACTTCAGGAACGGGTGGCTTTGTGTAAGCACGATCTAACATGAACCACGGTGGAAGTAGGAATTCAATTCTGAACAACGGCTTGCAGATTCTGAAAAATGTTTCTACCGCACATGCAGTACCCTGTCAGGTACCGCAAAGCCTCTAAGTCTGAAAAGCGGTACGATGTATTGCTGCTTTTTAACTATCCATTGGTATACTCACTCTTCTTGTTGTTGTTGTTGTTGTTGTTGTGGATATAGCAGTAACTAGTGAAAGCAGCGGGCAGCCTCTTATTCCTTTTGGGCTTGGCGGTACCTAGCAGGCTAGCAAATTTATTGCCACCAATGTATCTTCATGATATCATTCAACCTCCACTCCACAGCCCTACGGCTTTGGTAACCACTAGCCCCTGTGTTCGCCCACATTAAAAGCTGGGCCAATCTATACTTAACGCCCAAGCCTGGCAAGTAATGCTTGCATTTGACCAGCCATTAAGCGCCTTTGGTCTGACGGTAAGACAATAATAGATATGGATCCTGTCTTCATGCCCTCTGCTGGCGTCAACGCTTTGAACCTTCTATAGCACGGCAACGTAACGATGTCTGGATTTGCGATTGTCATCTATCATTCCAGCAGGGATTCTTTTTTCTGGGTGGGGGGAGGGAAGAAAGAGAATTGAGAGTCTATTTTTGGACAGGATACTCCCCCCGGAATCCCTCAAAGTCGGCTAGGTTTAGGTTTGCAGTTGCAAGCAACGGTATCCCGACGGTGATCGCATCTTTAAATCGCTGGAAACATTACCGGTGAATATAGACAAGTGTGACACAAGAATGTGACGACTAGAGGAAATCTACAATACGAACATCGGTCACGAAGTTGCAGCCTGATAACCCGGCAGACGATTACTGTCTGGGTCTGGGCCAGGAGGCTGGCTTACGGCTGATGCGGCGCGGTTACGACCACTAAACTGCGCTGTGATCCAGTCAAACAGGGAAGGATTGCTCGTAATGAATTCTAAAAGTTACCAAAAAACTGCTCAGCCACGGCTGGGGAGCATATCGTCTGTCGCGTTTTTATTTATTAGCGGCCGCTGCCTCCCAAGTGCTGCCGGTTCTGATGTTGCTGGAGTACTGTTTATCTTGATTCCAGCCAACACGTTAATCCTCAACCTCTCGTCGGAAAGAAGACGCGTCTTTCCAACACTTTCCCACCAAACATCAAACCTCTTATCAATCAATCGGAAAAATCGATTCAATCGCATTTGCATAACACGTTGAGCTCGTACTTGCCCAAGATGCAGACCTTTGAGGGAATCTGGAACAAGCGCCAATTAGTGCCCTGCTGGGTGATTCAAGTCCTTTGCGCAGGCATCTACGGCATCGTCGCATGCCTTCTGCTCGTCACAGCCGGCTACATCTCCCGCAACAAAGACCAGATCGACTCCAACTACAGCTACCTAGGCTACAGCGCTGACGATCTCACCAAGTACGCGGCCGCGACTGGCGCCGTGCTCCTCGTCTTCTGCATCTTCACCGTCGTCATCGACATCGTCGAGTGCATCTTTTACTCCAAGCGCAAGCTGAACCCGGTCTTCTTGCTCGTCACCTCCAGCATCAAGACCCTCTTCTGGGGCATTCTCTTGATTCTCAACTTCATCGCTGCCGGCCGCGGAGACGGTAGCTGGCTCGGCATTCTTTTTGGCATCCTCCTCGTCTCGACCAGTCTTACTCAGCTTTTCATCTCGGCCAAGTTCACCCACAGAAAACGCAAGGGAACCTTCGTGGCTGGTGGCTACAAGGTACCCGGCTTTGGTGGTGTCGAGGCGGGCGCTGGTGGTGGCCCGGACAAGGTTACTAAGGAGTAATATGTTCGTCACGAGTGGAGACGTGGTAATATATGGTTGGGTTCCACGAAGAGCTAGCTGGAGGCAATCGCATGTTGTTTAGTTTCAGTCAGGCTCGGAAAAAGAATACAACCGCATATTTTCGTGGTTAGTGGCCAGGTACAAGACGAGGGTTGTCAATTGTGTGACGCAGACTGAGTTGTGGAGCGTACAATCTGTAGGTAGACTTGGCTGACGAGCGTACTTGTGTCCCTGTGTTCGATTGTGCATCATATGTTTTCTGTCGCCAGTAGTCGAACAGGAAACCAATCACGTCCGAGAATAGAAAGAGTCTGCTCTCTATCTACCGCGATATCAGTCCTACCGTTTGAGTTCCGCTGAGGGACGCATTCCTTGCACTTTCGAATCAAGGTCTGTCCTTGAAGATCGTGGCGGTGAACTCAAAGCTATATATACTGCTGGCTCTGATGTTGTGCTAGGCTCATCCAGCCGCTGCTAACCCATAATGAATTGATTCCACTCATCAACGTGGAATACAGCTAGCAATGACAGATCAAAGCAGTGTGCTCATACTTCCTCTTATCTTGGCCGATTCGAGAATTAACGCACCAAAAATCCCAGGATGTTAAGGCGGTGATTCGGATCGTAGCGCCGGGAAACGCCGTCTCCTGGATTGACGGTCGCGTCACTTGGGTTTATGTCTAACACCGTTAGACCCGATACACCATGCTCCAGAAGCACCCACAAGTCAGTATCTTCAAGATCGTCGGTGCCCCGGGTGACGATGGCGTCCCGACGACTCAGAAGCGCTGCATCGCCAGGGCTGCGGATGCCCATTATGGAGACATAGCAGGGGAGGGGCAGTTGGCGATCCGGGGAAGGTCCTGAGGTCAGGTCGGTGTGTGAAATCGATGTGGTCGTGAGTTTATCTACGTCATATTCCATGCCGTGTTCTGGTATGGCAAGTCGTGGTCCTGGGTAAGGCTGGGTAAGGGTTCCATATTTCCAAGATATTTAGACTCCAGTCATGCAAGTGGTGTGCTTGATCCTCTAAAGGACGAAAGTAGACTAGGTGGGGTTCGATACATATTTCGTATGACTCCCTTGCGTGGGCTATGCGATTTGTCTTCGAGTCCCTCACTGCCTCGACCACGAAAGGCGCCTGTCACCTTACAAACATGCCTCGGCCTTTCGTTTGCGGATTGCAGTGCTGCTAATCTTTGAAGCAAAGTTCTCGGTCTTTGTTGGCATGTCTGCGATTTCCTCGGCATCGAGCACATCCACTTCAAACATCTCGAGCGGCTTCCAACCCAGCTCCCTTCTGCGATCGTTGACCGCACCACCGCCTGATCTCGTCTCACCTGAAACAACAAGTGCGCCGATGTTCTCCTCGGTGATAGTAGGGCCAAAGGCGTCTTGAATCTTGACGCACTGGATTGATATTGTGTCAGCCCGAAAAGATGCAGTAATCTCACCATCTTTCTTCGCTAGCTTGGGTTCCAGACCATCTTTCCATCCATCCTTCTGGAGCTCAACCATGGACGAAAGGAATTTGATGACGTTGAGAGCTCGGTCCTCCCAAGGTTGTACGTATTCAGCGTACTTTTTGTTCTTCAGCAGTTCGTCCCCAGTAATACCGATGATGAGAACACAGGGTTTTGCCGTTCCTTCTGCTGGGATGCTGAGTAGCAATGCAGCTGCTGTGAGGAGAAGTTTGTGGCCAGGGTGAAGATGATCGAAGGTCCCACCCAAGCAAACTACATCGTGGCCTGTGATTTGAGGTGGCTGAGTAGGGTTTGATGCTTCCACATTTAGAGTAAGGCCCCCTTCTACGACCACAATTTGGTCCTGTCTCAGCGGTTGCTTGCCTTCGAACATCTTCAAGTACGTGGAGAGAAGCTGATGCCCAGCCTCATTGCCAACACCAAAGACGTACTTCCATGGATGATAGGCAGACACAAAGGTGACCAGATCCACGACAACTGTGTTGTTCGATGCAATTGCCGGTTTGGAATCAGAAGTAGGCTTTCTGGTCAGGTCGTGGTCGACGAGCACAACTCGAACATCCACAGAGTCACGTCCTGCACCGGCATCAGTGGCCACCCCAAGCTGCGCGCATATCACTGAGACGATGCTGTAAATGCCAGCCAGAATCGACTGGACTTGTGTCCATGACAACGATTTTTGTCTCTGAGACCTCCCAGACAAGACGGGCGAAGCTACGGCAACAATCAGAAGGGCGCCGCTTGGAGAATTCTGGTCCTTCAGCTTTGCGATGGCGGACTTGAGTGACGGGCGATAAGCTGCGCTCAAAGCCACTCGATCGGAAGGGTGCGGCGGGGGTGGAAGGAGCAGTAGTGATGGCAAGTTGTTTTCTTCCATGGTGGACGGACTCCGTCGGCAGATTTGGTGCAAAAGTTAATGTGAAAGCAGGAGAATACTTTTTATACGTTCTGTTTGCCAGTTACGGGGATACAGGGGGGGTTTTCAGGGAAGGTGAATCCGAACCAGTTGAAGTTGCCTCATCTAAAGCTGTTGAACAGGGTGGTTTCGCCTCGGCAGAAGCGGGGACAAAGGTGGCCGACGATGTTCAGGCAGTCCTTTGGTCGCTTATCGCATTCAAGCGCTGAGTTCCAGATCAAACAGATTCTCCTGGAATTTTGGTAGGCTAACTGTTCTCAACTTGCAAGTCTTGATTTAAGGGATGAGTACAGCTTGGGTAGTATATGCATACGATTGATGGTGGGTTGTTGTTCGACCATCTATTACAAGTTAGAGTGCGTAACCATCAGTGGAAGTAATTACTGAGAGTGGGGTCACTTTTGAGGTCTGCCAGCTGCCAGGCTCCTGAGCGAGCTTGTGTGCGTCAGAACTTCCAGCTACCGAGGCGAATCTTAAGCAAGTTGACCAAGACTTTAGTTGAATTGATGGCAGCATCAGACCAGAACAGCAGCAGTTGACTATTGTGCTCACGTACCGGCTGCATTGCAAGCTGTCAATCTCGCATCTCTAGGGCATCTGCAGTCTGAGGTCTGGATTCATAACTTAGCACTGTTGTAATAAGGTTCGAAGTGAGACATTCGTCCTGAAGCGCCTGCATTGAGAGGCTGGCCGCTGCGCCGTACTGTATTATTCCAAGTCCCTCTCAAATTGCCCTGCGTAGCAAGTATTAGGAATGAATGGCTTTTTGCTGTCCAAAAACATTTGGGTCAACCAACATCACTTGTCAAATTCCCTGGCCCTCTATCTGCCTCATATTTTTCTCTCTTTTGCCTAGGATTCACCTGGTTTCTTGGGAAGCTTTTCGGTGCTTTTCAAGCTTGCCAATCCTCTGGGCCGTTGCAACCCCAATCACCAAGACAAACGCGAAAACTGAACTTGACTTGCTGCCCAACTTGTCGATCTCACGCAGCGAAACCCCGACAACCAGGCGCAAAGAACTGCAATTCCTGCAATCCCGACGACTGTCTTCTCCTCGGATTGCTATCCACGATCGACGAGGATATTCTAGCAGAAGTCTTCATAGCATTATCTCGAGCAACGAAGTTATCCGAGTTTATCCCACCTAGGCGCCAATAGTTTCTCCAACTTTTGGACTGCAGTTGCCGGCATAACCCCAGCAGGCTTGCCATAACCCGCGGCAGCTTTTGCGACGTCTCCAGCCGCCAGAAGAAATCGAATGCCACCCCTTTAGACATTGTCGACTACTTGCCTCCAACTGTCTGCGTGCAAACTCCAACGACCACATTAAAGATTTCCGACATTGTGGCAGCGATCCTGCTGTGAGTTGGGAAAGCAGGCATGAATCAATCACAACCGTACGGGGCTGTAGCCCCGCGACGGACTGCGACCTACGGCTCCCAGCATCAGAGCGACGAACTGCACATTTCGCCGACAATGAGCCACAGCCACCAGGCTCAGTTATCCCCTCGCGACTTCACCACGGCGCCAGCGAATCCCCACATCAAGCTGGAACAGCCTGCAACTGCCTCGCAACCTGCGACTCCCGCTTACCATCAGGGCAACTCCGCGGTGCCGAATGTCCTACAACCGGGAGTAGGAGCGCTAGGTGGACGACCAGCAGCAATGAGCGCCAACACGGCTCCCACGCTACCCACGATGTCCGGAACAATGCAACACTCGCCGAGCGAGTATACGTCGCCCTCCTCGAAACCACCTGCTTTGAGCTTATCGCATAGCTATTCTCGGTCGAGTCCCACAGCACCATATGAACAATCCAACACAACCTACAGCTCATACACACCTACGACACCTGGAATGTCGCTCGCAGGACCCTCGTCGCAGCTATCTTCCCAGGACAAATATGGAGCTCCAGGCTCCCAACGGAATGTGTCCAACACGCCATTGGGGCTCGCAGACATCCGGCCGCGCGCTGACTCGAGCCTGAGTGAAGGGAATGCCGCTGGCTTCGGCTCTGATGCACACCCCTCGCCTATGCCCAGCAGCTACATTGCCCCCTGGGCCATGTACTCTTTCGACTGGTGCAAATGGCCCTCTCAGGGAAACGGAGCAGGCAAGATAGCCATCGGAAGCTACCTGGAGGACGGCCACAACTTCGTGAGTAATATTTGCGCCCCCAACGCGCCGCGGGGCCAACGTTTCTGACATCTTATCTCCTATAGATCCAGATCCTTGATACGCAGATCGTGAACACCCCTACCGAAATGTACACTCCGGGCTCATCAAAATTCTGCCTGGAATTCAACAGGATTGCCGAAGCGACGCACTCCTACCCGGTTACTCGCCTGCTGTGGGAGCCACCTTCTTCCCAGAAGCAGACTACTGATTTGCTGGCTACTAGCGGCGACCACCTGCGTCTGTGGTCGTTACCAGCCGACCAAGGGGGCTCGTACACCAACAGAATAAAGGATAAATTCGGCAGCCTTGGTAACAACGACCCTGGTCACTCTCGCAGCAAGTTGACTCCTTTAGCGCTGCTATCAAACTCCAAGACTCCGGACCATACCGCTCCTTTGACCTCTTTGGACTGGAACACCGTATCCCCGAGTCTAATAATCACTTCGTCCATTGATACGACATGTACTATCTGGGACATTCCTTCCCTGACCGCGAAGACCCAGCTCATAGCTCACGACAAGGAGGTTTACGACGTCCGTTTCTGTGCCAACAGTGTGGATGTATTTGTGAGTTGTGGACAGGACGGTAGTGTCCGTATGTTCGATCTGCGCAGCTTGGAACACAGCACTATCATCTATGAGCCTACTGCCAAGGACGATCGAGGTAATTATGCGTCTCGTTCTGACAAGAAAACCGCTGACCGTTGCCCAGATGCGAACGGTGGCAGGATAAGCCCTACCCTCGCCCAGCAGACAATGTCGAATGCGCCTCCATTGATGAGGCTGGCTGCTTCTCCTCATGATGCCCACCTGCTAGCCACATTTGCGCAAGATTCGAACGTGGTTCGAATCCTTGACGTAAGACAGCCCGGCCAGGCCCTTCTCGAGCTGCGAGGTCACTCAGCAGCCGTAAGCAGTATCGAGTGGTCACCGAATAAGAGAGGAACCCTTGCTTCGGGCGGAGATGACAGCCAGGTCTTGATCTGGGATTTGACGAACCCTCCAATGAGCTCGCCTTCCCCAGCTGCTAACACCGGCCCCGACAAACATCTCACACCAGTCGCTGCCTGGCAGTGCGACTATGAAGTCCACAACCTGAGCTGGACTACAGCAAATGGTGATGCTGGGGAGTGGCTTGGTGTTGGCGGTGGAAGGGGCATTTATGGTGTCAAGATGGCTTAGACGTAGCAACAAGCTGGAGGGAAACGAACCATCATAACAAGGGGGCCAATGAGACACGACACGAGAAAACAGAAGAAGAATCGTGCACCGTTGGATTGAACCCAGAGTTATTACCACTAGCGTCACAGAGTTATCCCTGGAATCAAGTGGGAAGTGATGGTAATTACTCTGGGTTCACCTATTGGCCGAGGTTACCGCGATGCTGCTGTTGCCGCATGCGCCGCCAGAATACATGGTCTTCGATTTCATAGACTTGCGCGTTGTCTGCTTGCATCATCATCGATCAAGATGACAGCTTTGCCCCACACCTTTCTCGAGGCGACATGCTCCAATGCCCGAGGAACACTGCCGAGATCCCGGTACTCTCGGTCATAAACGGCCGGCTTGATCCTTCCACTCTTAATCAGAGGCAGGAGTGCCTCCCAGATGATGGTCGTTTCATGGGGATATCGACGGCCGGTCTCGCCAAATCGCTGGAAAATGTTTGTTAGAGATGCGATTTGCACCGTCACTCTGGGCCGAACCTGCTATGGTCGGGCCTTGGGGGATAGGAGTTGGAGAGATGGGAGGAGACAACTTACATAGCCGATCAGACTAGCCTGTTTTAATAATACCCGATTCATCGCTACTTTCTCCAGATTCTCCCTGTTACGGCCCGCGAAACCAACCACCAAGGCGCGGCCTCGATGCGCTAAACACTTGATACTCTGCTCCACCAGGCCTACACTATCGAATACTACATCAACCCCGTTGCCGTCTGTCAGCGAAACGACGCGGTCCCACCATCTGGGGTCGGCCTCGTAGTCAATACAGGCCTCGGCGCCAAAAAATCCAGCTAACCGGCACTTGGCCGCCGAGCCAGCGGTGCCAAACACGCGGTAACCCAGCGCGGAGCAGATTTGCACCGCGGCTAACCCGAGACCGCCGGCAGCGGCATGCACCAAGACCGTGGAGCCTGGCTTCAGCACGCCAGGTAGAGACAGCGCGCCGTACGAAACGGGCAGCGTTGCCGCAATGCCCGCGGCTTCGGCGTAGGACCAGCTGGGCGGAACGCGATAAACAGGGTAGGAAGACGGGAGGACGATGTACTCGGAGTAGGAGCCGGCATATGCGCCGAACACTCCATCACCGGGACGGAAGGGGCTGGTGGTGGGAGAGGAGAGAACGAGGCCGGCGAATTCGAGGCCGAGGGTGAAAGGAGGTTTGATGTGGCGGCGGTTGTTTTGGTGGAGGCCACGGGCCTGGTGGGGTTAGTAAAGGTTGAGTTAATGATATGGAAATATCCAGACGTGGACCGATCAAGGCAAACACAATATAGGCCACTGCGTTTGATTCGGCGCCAGTTGAACAGCAAGAACATTGCCAATTACTTTCCCGACGCATTCTTCACTCATGTGATGACTACCGAGGAAGGAGAGGTAGATATACATATAGTGTGTCCACAAAGTTTACTCCAGCTGCCTTGACTTGGATGAGGATCTCGTCGTCTTTGGCCTTCGGTTTAGCGACTTCCGATACACGGAGTTCACCATAGTTCTGAGTTCGAGTCAGCGCTTGCAAAAGAGATAACCCGCTCCTCAACATTATTGTCGCCACGAACCTCCACATAGCGATCAACCACCACTGCTTTCATCTTGATCGAGATCCTATTCCAACGTAGAGAACCGAATTGTACAAGCCTTTAGTTGTCTTCGACTTGGCTACGGTATCAAACATCTTAAATCGTCGCCGATATCTTCAAGGCTCATAAAATACGAAAACTTATTTCACATATCGATTTGGACTTGACCGAGCTCGCAAGTCAAGTAACGGTAATTGGAGTTGGTTGCAACTTTGCCGCTCCTTCCTGCAGTGTTGTGGCGGTGCTCTTGACTTCCAGCCACGTTGGTGGACCAGTTAGTGCAGTTCGACCCATTAGTCTAACCTCTATCGGGATTAGGGACTCAAGCTGCAGCTGCATGTGTCCGCTCGACCTCTAGATTCCACATTGCTCGAACGAACGCGACTTTGTAAAGAAGGTTGCCTTCCCTTCAACATCCAACATCTTGCGGTCCCAACGCTCTTTCTTTCCCTTTCAAACACGTTTGACAGTACACACAAGAGTTTCCCTGCCAGCGTCAAAATCACTGTCAGCCAAAATGAGCGGCCCCCGAGATCACGAAGTCGACTCAGACGAGGAAGAGGACTTCAACCCGGCGCCCGCTGACATGAGCGACGATGAGGGTCAAAACGGAGACAACGATGAAGAGGAGGCCCCTCGTCGCAAGGCATCACCTGGACATACCCGCAATGGTGCCGACGACGATGAGGATGACGAAGAGGAAGAAGACGACCAAGATGACGTGAACGCGCGAAACGACGACGATGACGAAGAAGACGAGGATGAGGAAGAAGAGGATGAAATCCAGGTGAGTCACGCTTGTTAATTTAAGCATTCTGCATACTCCAGGAGTCTAACCCGTTTACCCCGCAGGGTCACCGTCGCAAGCGTCGCAAGGACAGACGAAACGCCTTCTTTGATATCGAAGCCGAAGTCGACGACGAGGACGAAGGTGAAGACGACGAGGAAGGCGCTGAAGATCAAGAGGGTTTCATCGAGCACGGTGATCCCGAGGAGGCCGACTTCGCTGCTCGCGACGACGAGAGAATCCACCAGGACCTTGACCGCAGACGCCAGCAAGATGCCGACTTTGATGCCGAGCGAATGGCAAGAGAGTTGCAGCAAAGACATGCTCACCGTCGTCGCGCGCCCGGCATGGGCGAAACCGGCGCTGTCCCTCAGAGACTGCTTCTTCCCAGTGTTGATGACCCCAGTATCTGGGGAGTACGATGCAAGGAAGGCAAGGAACGCGAGGTTATTTTCTCCATCATGAAGAGGGTTCAGGAAAAGATGGGCACAAAAGATGAGTTGGGCATCACAGCAGCTTTCGAAAGAGGCGGACCCAACTCAGTCATGAAGGGCCTCATCTACGTGGAGGCTCAACGCCAAACCGATATCTTACAGGCCCTCGAGGGAATGCTGAACGTTTACCCGCGAACCAAACTGTTGCTAGTCGATATTAAGGAGATGCCCGATCTTCTTCGAGTCCAAAAGACCCCCACGCTCGAGCCCGGCTCATGGGTGCGACTTAAACGACCAAACAAATATGCGGGTGACCTTGCCCAGGTTCTCGACGTGACCGAAAACGGTCTTGAGGCGAGGGTGCGATATATTCCTCGACTCGACTACGGCATGCGCGATGAGCACCCGGGTGCTATGACGGCCGACGGCAAGCGAAAGCGTCCAGTAACTGGAGCACGTCCACCCCAGAAGCTTTTCAGTGAGGTAGAGGCGCGCAAAAGACACCCCCGCTACATCACTGGTAACCCGAATACCAATGTTTGGCAATACAACGGTGATGAATTTGAGCAAGGTTTCCTGGTGAAAGATATCAAGATTCAATTGCTTGTAGTCAAGGACGTCAATCCCACCCTCGAAGAAGTAACTAAATTCGCGTCGGGTGGTGATGATGGCGTGGAGAACATTGACCTGAAGTCTCTGGCTGCTAGCCTGAAGGATAGCTCTACAAATGTCACTTACCTTCCCGGCGACGTCATTGAGGTGTATGAGGGCGAACAGAAGGGCGTCGTGGGTAGGGCAACCAATGTCCAAGGTGATATTGTCACCATGGACGTGACCGAAGGAGATCTTGCTGGCCAGACTATCGAGGTACCGACGAAGGGGTTGCGCAAGCGATTCAAGACTGGTGACCACGTCAAAGTCATTGGTGGCAGCCGATACCGCGATGAAGTTGGTATGGTCGTGAGCATATCCGAAGATCGAGTTACTCTTTTGACCGATCAGACAACAACGGAGATCATTGTCTTCAGCAAGGACCTCCGAGAAGCTAGTGACCTTGGTGGACAAGGCGCTCTGGGCCAGTACGAGATGCTTGATCTCGTCCAACTAGATCCCACAACGGTTGGCTGCATCGTCAAGCTCGACCGAGAGTCCATGGTCGTCTTGGACCAGAATGGCGATACTCGACAAGTCATGCCTTCGCAGATTGCAAACAAACTCCCAAGGCGAAAACTTGCAGTGGCTGCAGACCGCAACGGGTCGGAAATTCGACCGGACGACGTCGTCAAGGAATACGGTGGCATGAGCCGCCAAGGCAAGATCGTCCATATTCACCGCACCTATGTCTTCTGCCACACAAACGCGACCAATGAGAATGCTGGAATATTCGTGTGCAAGGTTAGCAACGTGTCGACCATCTCAGCCAAGGGTGGCCGCGTTACCTCATCGATCGCGTCTGGGCCTGATTTGAACTCCATGAACCCGATGAAGAAGCTGAACCCTAATGCGAAAGGCGATATGCCACCTCCTAAAGCCACCTTTGGCCGCGATCGCCTTGTTGGTCAGACTGTCACAATCAAAAAAGGCGGCTGGAAAGGTTTGCTCGGCCGTGTCAAGGAGACCACCGACACCCATGCCCGTGTGGAGCTTCACACGAAGAGCAAGATCATCAACGTGCCGAAGGCGGACCTGGTGGTTAGAGATGGTGTGAGCGGTCGCGAAATCAAGAATTACGAGAACCGACGCCCTGGAGGCTTCCTTGGGCCACGCCCGGGTTCAGACCGCCCCAACCCAGAATGGAACGGTGGAAGTCGCACGCCCATGACCAACGCCTCATCCCGAACTCCTGCATGGAAAACACCAACACAGGGTCCGAATGGTGGTCGGACTCCCGCTTGGAGCAGGGCCGGTGGCGATGGCGGCCGTACACCTGCATGGGCGGGTGCTGATGGCTCGCGTACGGTCAATCCGTATGACGGCAATCGGACAGCATACGGCGGCGCCGGTTCACGAACTCCAGCGTGGTCATCCGGTGCCAAGACCCCGGCTCCCGACTCATTTGGCCACGGCTCTAAGACTCCTGCCTATGGTGGAGGCGTTTCTGATGCATGGGGCTCCGGCTCGAAGACCCCGTATGGCGCGTCGGCTCCCACGCCTACTGCAAACGGCGGTGATTCGTGGTCTGGATATACGCCTGGCGCTTCAGGCGGATCGCATGCATATGATGCACCTACACCTGGCATGCTAGGTGGTAAGTAACACCCATTCCTTCCATTTGAGGCTGTCGCCATAACAATACGCACCATTTGCTAAAACTGATTACAGCGCCCACGCCCGGTCTGAACTACACTGCACCAACGCCCGCAGCGATGAATGTGAGTAATTTCTTGAAAACCGTATCTTCCCTTTCCCGTCTGCGTCCAGAACAAACTGAGTATAGATGACTAATCTTCTATCATTGCAGGCCCCGACGCCAAGTGCTCAATGGCAAGGCGGCTGGGGCGCCGATGCTCCGACTCCGGCTGCAGGTGTAAGTCAATTATCAGCTCTTGCTTCCTCCTTTTCTGTTGGCCCCGGGAGCAAAGTGTCGTGATCAAGAATCGGGTGTTTTCTCTCGAGACAACTGAAAACCAACTCCTATTTGCATCCACTGTTTTTGGTGTAGCAATTACTAATTTTAATATTACAGGCGCCGACGCCTGGTCCTTGGAGTGCTGAGACGCCCGCCGCACCGAGATACGAGGAAGATTAATTGCTGGCTACATGGTGCAAATGTGAATTACAGACCACCCGCCTTGTCTTTTAGCTGATGGAGTTCCAGGGGATGGTGACATTTGGCGTTATTAAAGAGGTGATAATGCCTCTCACCGTGTTGGCACAGACAACATGGGTGTTGTACTTATAGAATAACAAAGAGGATACAGAGGCAACCATACCTCGCAAAGCTCATTCGACAGGCTTTTTCATATATTCTAGTAATAGCCAGTTGAATCCATGACGACGACCACTCATGCAACTTTCAGTCACCCGTCATTATTTCCAATGGCGGTGGGATCCAGACTTTAGACGAACCGCACTTTTTCAATCCGTGCTGTACTCGCACAGGCACGTCCATAAGACACAAGTTTCTTCCCAAGGTCCCGGCTCTGCGACTCTTGATCGAAAGACTAGCCGACGCAAGGGACTTCTTAATTGGCTACTAGTCAGATCTGTAATATTTCATGGTGGTTTGAAGGCCCCCTCACTCTTGCGAAACACAGAAGGTGCTATCTGCACTTTGTCGGATGTTCTCCCAGTTACACGCTAGCATTAATCCGGTCGTAATCTTCACTCCTTGCGCCTCTTCCATGCCATTTTTATAGTCATTTGATACACAAAAGTTCTCATATAGCGTGCCGCTATAGTCACTGAGTTTAGAGTTATTAGAATGTTAGTATACCTTGACAGCTTCTCGGTATCATCAGGTGGTACTCCTATTCCTCCAGTGACAATTATGACCCCCACCTGGCACTCGAAGTTCTGTCACACAACAGCAAGTTTTTGCCACACATCTTCCGTAGCGCATGATTGGCTTCGGAGGACTATTGTGATACCGCTGTTTACGCACCCCATTGGAACGTGGCCAAGTGTCTGGAAAGCCACTCGGCAGTGGACAAACCGGTGAGGTTGCAGTTTCTTACGTGTCCTCCTTTTCCACCGATTTAGTCGAGAATCATTCTGCGTAACTTGAAGGGTGTTGTTATTGGGCATGGAACCAGGTAGTGGGAGCCGACTACGGTGGGCCGGTTTAAATCTGACCTGTCACGAAACCGTCATCAATCATCGCTGCATTCTTAGGCATCAAGTCCAAAGGAATGTGTCTAGTTGCTTGTCTCAGGGTTCTCAAGGGAGAACCACGTTGACGATACGCAATACTATCGTTTTATTTGTCCGGGCCAGCGACGCGCTATCGCTGAGGAACCGGAGGGCCCTTCGATGCAGATACCGAAAGGGGGCAAGTATTTCGGCCTGAACCGACTGGAGGCGTCTACGCTGTGCCAGATCAGGACGGAAAAAATAGGACTAGCAGCCTTCTTATTCAAGACAGGGGCTTTTGGCGTGTACTCGCCGCTATGCCGCTGTGGCGATGCCCCTGAGACGGCAGAGCACGTAATCCTCTTTTGCGGGCTGTTGGAAGGACCGAGGGAACGATTACGGGCCGCCATCGCACCACGGCCACTATACTCTCGCAGAGACCTCGCAACGGCAACAGGAGAACCAGTAGTTAGTGGGACTATTGTAAGATGGCTGCTAGGGACGGGTCGGACAGCTTCAAGGCCCAGATAGCATCGATCTTCTCAGGGGGGACTTTGTTGGTAGGTTGAGAACCAACGTAGTATGGTAGTGAACGCAACGCAGTCGCCAATAGGGCGAACCGACGACGCAGCGTATGTATTTAGTCCAGCCATTAGGGCACGGTTTGACATACGGGAGTACTAGTAGAGGTACCGGGGGCTTCGAGCCTACGGCGTATTTAATAATAATAATAATAATATTTGTCCGATGTTGCTCTCGTCGTTTTTAGAATTAGCGCCAGCAATTGGTAAGCATAAACGTAGCTGCCGCATAGATGCAGATGTTAGAGGCAATGTGTGGGCGATCTTTGCCGTGATTCGTGGAGGCCTGGCTGACCGTTGTCAATGTCACTCCCCCTTCCGTCCTGTTGCAACGCTAGTGAAGATAGCCCTTGTTCAACATATATGTATTTTGCGGCTTGTAACATGAATAATTGTTACAGAGTAGATACATTGTCTCAGTTAAGGGGCGTGATGCGTACTAGTTACCTGGAAAATCAGACTCCGCATTACATTAAACTATTTAACTTAGTTTTAGCGGCTGCGGAGGAGCAGATTCAGAGACTGAATACTTGAGCCATCTGATAAGAGGCCACGCTTAGAATTTGTGAAGCATTACTGTCTCCGAATATGGCATATACGACTATCTACTATCACTGATCATCAGCCATGTCAACACTCCTGGGGCTCTTGGAGCGGGCGGCTCAGAATGCCGCCAATAAGCGCCTCTTCTTCTACGATGAGCATGACTCCAAAAGCTCGATCACATACTCCAGTCTGTTGATCAAAGCCAGAGTACGTTTTCCTATTTTTATTATCTCCTTTAATGAAAGCGACGACTACTCACATGGTGGCTTGAGCATAGGAAAACGCCAATATCCTTCGCAGCAGCGGTACCATCATTGAGGGCCAAGTTGTCTTGCTTCACTTGGAATGCCACGCCGACTATCTCATTTGGTTCTGGTCGGTCCTGGTAGCCAAGGCTGTGCCCGCGGTCTCCACTCCGCTTCCCATTGACAGGGTGGCTTGCGAGCATCACTTGCAACATCTAGCCAACCTACTTCGGAATCCTCTTGTCTTGACTACAGAGTCTCTTGCCCACCAACTTTCTGCTGCTAGTGGATTCAAGCTCGTGCTTGTCGAAAGTCTTCGGCCTGTTCAAGAGCTTGCATTCAAGGGCGGTTCAACGAGGAGCGATTTCGACGTCAAAGTCACCCATGCTAACGACTATGGATATGAACACCCTGCTGGAAAGCGGAATAATGAGAATCGTTCCACTCAAAGTGCCAACCATGACACCAATGCCTCCGGCAGAACCAATGAAACATCAGCGCCCGTTGAGCATGTCGAGAAGCACGGGGAGAAACACGGGCACATGGAAATCGAAGATCACCTCGACGTCAATGACCGTCCCACCATCTATGGCAATCCTGCCACCAACGGCAGCTCGGAAATTGAGCGATTCTCCAATATGTATGAATCATCTGGGATTTTGGAACACGACACAGGGTCGGAGGCTGTAAGGGAGCCTGTTTCCAATGGTCCAGATCTGGCATTTCTTATGCTCACCAGCGGGAGCACAGGGAACGCCAAAGCTGTAGAGCTGCGACATTCTCAAGTCATCAGTGCTGTTACAGGGAAGGCTCGGCTGAACGTAACCTCGGAGACCGACGTCTTTCTCAACTGGATAGGTCCGTTAAATATTGACAATCAACCCCCCACCCCCAATACCCTTCGTAAAGCAATAGGTTCGACTGACTGAAAATTTAAATGGCAGGATTCGATCACGTTGCCTGTGTAACGGAAATGCACATCCATGCCATGGCTGTATGTGCTTCACAAGTCCACGTCGCGGCCAAACTAGTCTTGCAAGACCCGCTGAGCTGGCTCGAGATAATGGCTGCCCATTCTGTCACTTACTCATTTGCCCCCAACTTCTTCCTTGCCTCGGTGTGCAAGGCATTAGAAGCTAGGACGGCCACACCGCGAATTGACCTGTCGAGGCTCCGCATTATCGTTTCAGGGGGCGAGGCGAACACCGTCTCGACCGGTGTGTCCTTCAACCAACTATTGCGATCCATGGGAGCAGCCGACCATGTCCTACAACCCGCCTTTGGCATGTCGGAGACGTGTGCTGGGTCTATCTACAACAAAGACTTCCCTAACTTGGAGAGAAGGTCCAACATGGAGGACTTTTGCTCCGTGGGGCGTGAAATCCACACCATGAAGATGCGTATTACCGATAGCGATGGGTCCATGTGCTCGAATGGTCAGCAGGGTAACTTGGAACTTAAAGGCCCGGCCTTGTTCAGTGGGTATTATAACGATGCGAAGAACACGAGCACGGCTTTCACTGCGGATGGCTGGTTCAAGACGGGCGACACGGGCTATTTTACCCAGGGCGGGAATCTGGTTTTATGCGGCCGGACCAAGGACTCCATCATCATCAACGGTGTCAAGTACTTCTCGCACGAGCTCGAGTCCGCCATCGAGGAGGCTGCAGAGGATTTGATTGTGCATTCGTACACTACGGCTTTCTCTACCTGGCCCAAGGGGAGCGATGGCGAGGAGGTCGTCGTTACGTTCGTGGGCTCGGACAGAATAACGGACGACGATGATGATGTACTGGCATCCGCGTTCAACAGGATAATCACAGCCACGCTTCTCTACTGCTCTAAAACCCCCCTTCACATCGTGCCAATACCAGCTGAGCGGTTACAGAAGTCCTCTCTTGGAAAAGTGTCTCGTTCTGGGCTCAAGACTGCGTACGAAGCGGGCAAGCTCGACGAGTACCTGGCCGACGCGACAGGTCGAATGACACGGCATCGGAGCTCGATATGGCTACCCCCTAAGACGGAAATGGAGAAGAAGATAGCGGAGATCTTTGCCGACGAGTTTGACCTCGCAACTGCACACATTGGTGTAGAAGATAGTCTCGTCGATATGGGAATCGACAGCATCCGCCTGCTTCGATATAAAACGGCACTCCAACAGCATCTTGGCCTCGAGGATATACCAACGGGGATAATACTCATAAACCCGAGCATCAGGGCGCTCTCTGCTGTTCTTTCGGGGGAAAATGCCCAAGCCGGAGAGTACAACCCTGTCGTTGTATTACAGTCGGGCCGGTCTTCGGCATCGCCAATTTGGTTCATCCATCCTGGACTCGGCGAGGTCCTTGTATTTCTGAATATCAGCAAGTACTTCTCAGATCGGTATATAATTCTCCTGCCTGTGCATTTAGCAGTGTTCTGGCCGCTGTAGAGGATTATTGGGGGTCAGTGCGTTGACTGATGTATACTAACACACCAAACACCGTAGTCAAGTATACGCCCTTCGAGCGCCTGGCTTCAACCCCGGAGAGAAGGTATTTGAATCCATTGACGAGATGACAACGTGAGTATAGCCACCCCTCCCTCTTTGCGATCCCGATAAAACTAGCAAACGGCCACTGCTGACTGACATCTCTCGAGCCGCACAGTATTTACATGCACGCCATCCAACGTAAGCAACCGAGCGGACCGTATGTACTGATCGGCTATTCATTCGGCTCGATGATTGCCTTCGAGATAGCCAAGAAACTTGAAGCCGCTGGGAACGAAGTCGGGTTCGTGGGGAGTCTGAACGGACCACCACATATAGCCTGGCGGCTACAACAGATCGACTGGGGAGAGCTGCTCCTCAACTTGATTTATTTCCTTGGTTTCATCACCGAGGAGGAGGCGCATGAACGCACCGCCGAGTCTAAGAAGGTATGTCTGCGTTTAATTGTATTAGACTGTGTCTATGCTTAATCATTCATTTTTTCCATCTTTCTGTATCAGTCTGTGTTCGTATTTGTGCTCCTTCATTTATTTCTCCCGTTACCTAAGTACTATATGCGAAACGGGAAATTATATTGGCCGATGGGTAAAGTGGGATTTGTGATTGCTGACTGCTTTATTTTGCGAATGCGTAGTACAAGAGAGAAGAGGCACTCAGCAAGGTCATGAAAATGGCCCCGCCCGCGAAGCTGAAGGAACTGGATCTGACGCAAACCAAGCTCGCGCGCTGGGCCGATATCTCCAGTGCACTCCAGGGCCTCGCGCACGACTACCGCCCCGTCGGCTCCGTCGCGTGCATCGACGTCTTCTACGCACATCCGCTGGTGGCCGTAGGCAGGGACAAGGAGGCGTGGCGAGAAAAGCATCTATCGCCGTGGCAGGATTTCTCGAGGGGCGAGGTGAGGTTCCATAACAGTCCTGGTAAGGCTTTCTCAATTCTCCCTGATGGGTATTACAGAGAAGAAAAGTGGGGGGGGGAACCTGTATCTACTGCATGGCTGCATATGTAACAACTCAGCAACTTCACAGACTATTGAAAGCAAGGGCTGACATGTGGATTTCGTCAGGCGCCCACTATACCATGTTGGGACCAGAGCAGGCTTTTGACATGCACAAGATTCTTAGGTCGGCTATACGGGCGCGAGGCGTTATTTGAACATTACCGAAGGATCCAAGGACTTCGGCGCCGGATGGGCTGACTAGATGAGAATATGTTGGTGAGCTGGACGTCTGGGATTTTGGAGCGCATGACAGCGGCCTGGATTGCGGTGTGGGCAGGTAAGCAAGTAAGATGGCTGGGTAGCGACGCGGGCCCAGCAAGTCTTTCATCATTTGTCGACGGGAACAGGCCTTAGACAATATATTTCACTCTAATCAGAAGTTGAATCCAAATTGGTTGTATGACAAAACCCCCGGTTCCGCTATTGGTTGGTTGTGCATCATTCGTATGCGGCTGACTGCGGGGAAGTTAAACTACCACATGTCGTGGAATCACTCAAAATCTCATCTGTCCCTGGGGAACTCCGTAGTACATGGAACCTATTCTTCTCAGCATTGGTGGTGCAGGGTTGAGAACCGTTCAGTGGAGTTCTGCTTGGTCTGGAAAGGGAAGTTATCTGCAGCATGCTTGAACACAGCAGGCGCAGATACGAAGCGAGGAAGTTCGGGGAGATAATAGCTAGTACATTAGATAATTCGATCAGGCGGCGATGACAGCGTGAGCTATGTCTCATTTTTTTGTATAAATGCTCTCGACTTCGCAGGCCTTTATTTGGCTGCTTCTGCACGACACAACCCAAGTCCTCGGCTACTTTTCGTTACTATACAACTAGTATTATGCTCAGTTCCGGTTCCAGCTTCTAAGCCGCAGCCAAAACACGGTTCAAAGATGAAGGCCACACTCATCACTACATCCCTCCTCCTGGGCCTGACCACCGCCGCCCCTTACGAGCTCGTCTCCAAACGTGCCCTCGCCCCCCACGAATGGGCCCGCTCCAAGCGTGATGGCTGCCCAGCCTACCTCGAAGAAGGCCAATTCGAGTTCCCGCACTACATCACCAAGATCAACTCCAGCGCCCCGGACACCGCGTACGGCCCGCAATACTTTGGCGTCTTCACCCCCAACGAGGTGTCCTCAATCTTCTCCTTTGACATCCCTGCCTCCCGCGCCGATGCAAACTGCACCCTCGAGTTCCTGTTTCCCCGACAGGACCAGTTGCAGACTTCCTCTTTTACGTATGAGGGGGCAGGGACGTTCTTCTTTACGGGGTATAACCCCGGCAGTTGCCCGGGCGATGAAACGACGTTTAATAATCAGCCTGCGCCTGGCCCGTTCCCAGATTTCCCGCCCATTCATATGGAGCCTGGGTTCGCTTATACGATTGATGTTGGGCCTTGCTTTGTGGGGGCGGGGACTTGTGTCGCCGGGAGTGAGTTGACTGATCTCCTGTCCTTCCGTCCATTTTGAATCTGGTTACACTTTTCTTTTCTTTTCTTGATGGTCGTGGCTGGGACAATTAGATGCTAATACCTTTTGGCAGAGACTTCGACCAATGACACGCACTTCGAGTTCTTCCAGAACTACGGTGAGTGTCCCATTGGCGTTTACACCGCCTACAGCTACGGTCTGCCTTGCGAGCCACCTTTTTGCTAGGCGGGTGGGATTGCAGGGATGGTGGGAGAGAGGAGAGGGGGCTTCCACCTCGACGAAAAGCGAGAGATGAGATATGAAATGGAATGATAATGTCTAGTAACGCCGGGTTTCACTCATTTCAAATTTCCACCACGATAATCACGCACAATGAAATAATTGAATCCCTCAAGTTGTCTCCTGTATACGACAGATTTGTGTTCATCTCCGGTGGCATTGAGTGCTGTTTTCTCACTTTTTTGTCTCCCTCACTTAGTCAGTATCGCATGATTCGAATAAACCACTCCACAATATAATGCCCATGCTCTAAAAATGTTGAGCAACTAACTATGGGAAGTTGTTACCTCTTCGGAAGTTCACAGAACACACTCGCGTGGAACCTCTCAGTCTACGATATATATTCAATCCACCCCTCCGCCCCCGTCCGCCCCCTTCCCCACACCCTTTTGGCATGGTTTATCCTGTGACTTCCTGAATTTCCTACTTCGTAGATTTTTACTTAAAATACATTAAAGAATATTCGAATTTTCCCTACTGTATTGAACAATAGAGGCGCTGGGGTGACATTGTGCTAGCCTAAATTGGCACGAATAACTCTTGAGTACATGGAGCCATTACATCGGCCTACTCTTAAATGCCAGACCGGGTGAACTCTTTAATTAAGTTCAATGATGCTTATTTCCTTCATGTCATCATTGGATGAAGATTTCCATCTTTATGACACTGATGACGAGATTAGTCCAATTCCTTATGCTGATAAGTTGATTCTGATGCATTCTCTCTGATACGATGAAACAAGATAACTACTAGCCAGCCTCTTACTGCAGCGCAGAGTGATTACCTCCTGCACGACCTGCTTTTCCAAGTGGGAGGGATCAAATATGGGGCTTCTGAAGATATGGCTGCAAGGGTACGATTCAATGGCGAACCTTAGTCCGCTCGTTGCCGGCATCAGGGAGGATTCTAAACTCTCGTCTCAACAGCTCATTGGATAATTTCAAAGCACCCATCGCGGCCGCATATGTGGATGGACTAGGTTAAACTCTAGTCTCAAAGCTTGTTAGCGAGTGATCGATGTCCGGTAATCACTGGAACCTTGAAAGGCTGCCATCTCGATCTTTTACCCCAGCAAATGGTCCCGAACAACAAGTTTGACTACATCACCAACTCCCAGCTTCCTATCGAATATGATATAGAACCTGGCCATTGGACTTACGGAGACAGAACGCGTTTTCCACACATCACCTTGCTGTCCGCAAGCGCAGGGTGACCAATGACTGATGATCGATCCATCGAAACCGACGATACTCAATGTCACAGAGCAACCAGTCACCGCTGGAGACGGGAAAAGGTGACAAACGAGTGGCAATCATTGGCTCCGTCATTCCGCTGACGGTCCTCACCACCATCTTTGGGTTCGCCCGCATCTTTGTGAAGACGGTGGTAGTGCACCGCTTCCAGATTGATGATGGCCTTATTGTCACGTCGGTGGTATGTCTCGGTATAATCCTGCCATGTGTTGCTTTTCTCTACTGACGCAATCGAGTTGGCGACTTGGGTCGCAACGGCAGCATCTATCGCAGCCGTATACAAGGGCTACGGACGGCTCGCCTCTGTCATCAACGAAGAAGACAAGATGACGGTCCTGCGACTATCCGACGCCATCTTCGCATGTGGAATCCTATCCTTCGCACTTCCCAAACTCGCCATTGTGTTCATGATGACGCGCCTCATCAGCCCACCGAAATGGCACCGCATAGTCCTCTGGTCACTGGCGACATTCTGCCTTGCGGGACTCATGGGCAACGTACTCGCCTTGGTGTCGGGTTGCAAGATTGAGGAGAAGTCTAATGGACCCAACATGGTGACGAATATATGCGTCGTGTCTTCGAAAGCCGTGTACTATGCCACCTCCACGAGCGCCATATCGGGCCTTACGAACTTATGCTTAGCCACTTATGCTATGCTAGCTATGCGGAAGATGAGGCTCAATGGAAATAAGAGAGTCGCGTTGACTGTCGCTGTGGGACTGGGATTTGTGTAAGTGGTTTTTGTCCATAGTTACGATTGGTACTAACGTACGCAGTGGAACCTTTATGGCTATATACAAATGTACTCGGCTGAAGATTCTGAGTAATCCTGACTTCAGTTGTGACTAGACCTATCTGGACTTCTGGGAAAAGTGCTGACAGCTCTGTGCAGATGACGCTGCTGAACTTGTCATATGGACATAGTACGCCAATACTCCTCCCTGCCCCAACCCCACCCCCCTGTTCTCCGTCGACGTACATCCCTGACCATCCCACAGCATCGAAGGCTCTGCCACCATCATCGCCGCGTCCATACCTGCCCTACAACCCCTCCTGGATTTACGGAACCGTCGATCCCGACCGTCTCCGCCGCCCAAAACTTCACATAATATATCCCCCACGTTATGTGGAATAAGTCGATTCTTCCGCAAGGTTACCACCCACAACACCATGTTTGAACTAGGAGATACGACTAGTAGCAGCAGCAGCACCACCACCACCGCCGCCACAAAGTTTGATCTCGAGCAAGGCCAGCGCGAAGATTGGCAGATGGGAACGATGAGGATTGGATACCAGATTGACTATGAAGTCAAGTATGTGCAGATAACGGACGGGGATAATATTGTTACGGTCCACGATTTGCAAAACCAAGACAGCTTCCGGGTCACCAAGAACCAGGGGCCGGATGGAGTGTGTACGACTACGGTTGAGGTTATTGTGGCGGCGGTGCCTCCTTTTATACCCCTTAATTAGCATACCAGATGATGGATTGCCTCTGTTCATACTCAACCGGAAAGGTCTGTTTGTTTACATTGTAGACATTGAATATATACAGACAAGTGAGTGAGCTTATCCCTTAGATCGCGGGAAAATGTTCAACTGCATGTTGGTTGCAATCTTGTTGATAACAACCAACGCATGTTAGTCATCACAGCCCCTTGCATCTTCACAGCGAAGTCCACCCTGGCCCCATTCATGTGGCGCTGTGCTCTTCCCTCCGCCCGTTCACTACTGGACTCGGCCTATCCACTCAAGATTCGAACTTGAGTCCCACTCTTGAACAGACCCGGAATAACTCTCACGAACTCCACCTGATAGAACTTCTTCAGGGGAACCATGAGGTCCCGCGTTCCAGGGTACGAAAGTGCCAACCTGGGACTCCACAAGCGTTATTTACTGCCAATTGTAATGATCGTATTCATTGGACTGCTTTATGTCCGTATTTTCCTAATGGCCGTCAATATTGATCTATCGACCTGGACGAAAAGTTGGAGTACCGGAGCCCCCCATGGTTCGGGATGGGTGCGCGACACTGAAAAGTTTAGGATGATGTTGGTATTTGGTGGGATGAATACGTAGAGGCGGAGGGTTTCGTACTATAGAGAATATTGAGCTCTGATGTCTCATCATGAGTGCGAGACATCTCAACAGCTGGGGGAATATGTCGTGGTACCTGCAGGACCGCTACTTCGCTACGGTGTCGATCTCTTCCCCAAACCCATCGCGCCATTTCCGATCGATAGCCACAATGTCAGGGCCAAGTTAAGGGTATTCGCCGTCGCATAGTGGCCCACCAGGTTATACTTGAGTATGTTCCCAAACACCTCGCTGTGCTTGAGGCCCATAGTGGCTACCCCGTTGTCTTCCTCCTTCTCTTGTTCTGATGCTCTCACGATTCTCATGAGGACGCTCATGAGCTTATCCCAAAGCGCTTCCCCGGCATCGAATCTTACCTTTTATTCACGAGGCATCTCACCGAGATACTACTGAAACTCGGTTTTAGCCAGCACCACCTCCCAAGTTTCCCCAAAACGATCAACTCGGCCAGCCGACCTTGTGCTGCATGAGATTCAGTATCATGCTCCTTACCGTATCGCGATATCTCATCTTATGCCTATTTCCAATCTCACTTCTTCGCCCTCCTGCCTCGCTAAATCGTATCGCACGTCAAAACCCATCTTCCTGCCTAGTCCTCACCATCTCATCGGCTTCGTCTGCTTTCCCTGCCACACCAAACCAACTTCTCCGCACCCCATCAACCTGCCTACCCGCCTCCTCCTAATCCCCCTCACTGATACTCTCATTACATGGCGGCACCGTAATCCACCTGTGCCGTTCCCAGATCTTCTCATTCGCACTATTCACGCTCTGTTCAAATACATCGAATACGTCGTACAACAATGGATTTTGATAAAAACCCCTTTGTATCGTCGAAACACCTCTTCTGCTGCGGCCGGGTTGGCGATCCACAGCTCGATCGTCCCCGGATTTACGATCCAGAAGACGTTGGAATTGAGAAAAGCGTGGATGGGTCACTTGGCGCGCTGATTCCAGTCGACATTAACGCGAGATTTCCAGGCTGTGAGGAGGCATGGGGAGAGGATATGAGAGACAGGTAGAGCAGAGAGGTGGAGGAGAAGCCAGGGGGGCAGGGGTGGTTGTGGGGCTGAGTAGGATGGGGAGTAGGTGCATTCAGCGAGCGTAAACTGACCAGGTACATAACCTAAAGTTCAGCAGGTACTTAAAACATAACGCGCTCCGAGGTGGGTTTTTCCCGACCAGGTACAAGAACGTTCTGGCCAGGTACAAAACCTAAGGTCTTAGCAAAAGTTCAGCAGGTACTAAAAACATAACGCGCTCCGAGGTTGAACATATGTTTATTATTATTATTATTATTAAATACGCCGTAGGCTCGAAGCCCCCGGTACCTCTGCTAGTACTCCCGTATGTCAAACCGTGCCCTAATGGCTGGATTAAATACATACGCTGCGTCGTCGGTTCGCCCTATTGGCGACTGCGTTGCGTCCACTACCATACTACGTTGGTTCTCAACCTACCAACAAAGTCCCCCCTGAGAAGATCGATGCTATCTGGGCCTTGAAGCTGTCCGATCCGTCCCTAGCAGCCACCTTACAATAGTCCCACTAACTACTGGTTCTCCTGTTGCCGTTGCGAGGTCTCTGCGAGAGTATAGTGGCCGTGGTGCGATGGCGGCCCGTAATCGTTCCCTCGGTCCTTCCAACAGCCCGCAAAAGAGGATTACGTGCTCTGCCGTCTCAGGGGCGTCGCCACAGCGGCATAGCGGCGAGTACACGCCAAAAGCCCTTGTCTTGAATAAGAAGGCTGCTAGTCCTATTTTTTCCGTCCTGGTCTGGCACAGCGTAGACGCCTCCAGTCGGTTCAGGCCGAAATACTTGCCCCCTTTCGGTATCTGCATCGAAGGGCCCTCCGGTTCCTCAGCGATAGCGCGTCGCTGGCGGTCGTGATGCTCTGTTCCGGTGAGCCATCTCTTCCTCCAGTGGCCGAGGAGGGCAGCCGGGACCTCCTTTTCCTCACTCATCTACTCGGAGCCCCGGGCCTCCTTCTCCATAGTGTACCCTGCCGGTCCAATATATAATAAGGTTATCTCGAGCTAAGGCTACGCTTTCTACCTTTATAATTCTATAGTAAGAAAAAAAAAGCTTTAACGCGACGCGCTAGTAGATATATTTTAGTAAGTACCCCTCGTAATAGAAGATCGGTATACGGACTCGTAATTATCCCAATATATATTAAATGTTTCTATCGTTTGTTTTAATTGAAAAAAGGCCTATATTTAAATTTAATATATATTAAACCTAGGAGCGCGTTATATTTTGAGTACCTGCGGAACTTTTACTAAGAACTCAGGTTTTGTACCTCGGTAGAGCGTTCTTATACCTGGTCAGGGAAAACCTCCATTTTTTCAAGCAGGCTGAGATTCGAAACAATTGACGCGCCGGGAGGAACAGGGATAATTCTTAAAGCGGTTGATCCATTATATCTCAACTTATGACTGAAGTTGTGGAGTTAAGGCTGCTTTCTGTGGCGCCCCGGATTTGAGCGATTAGTCGCGTGCGTGTGATCTACACCAGTGCGGCAACACAAATAGTATTGGCTGAAAATCTCGATCACTCGTGCAGGACTCGAAAGGACCATTCAAGCCATGTAGTGGAGTCTACAAATTTAGTTTTGAACAATATGCCGCATTAAGAATGTGCTTATTTCCCCATTACGACGTTATCAGGACTTTCCTTAACTGGCAACGCGTATTCTGGACAATCCTAACCCGGCCAAGAGAGTTTAGACCACCCCAGGTATCCGAAGGGGCAAATAATGGACGCTTTGCGATGAGGAAAGGAAGGTGTGGAATTGCACAATCCTTATCACACGATGACCGGGGTTGCGTCTATACAAGACGTGTTCTAGACTGGAGCAGGGATTGGAGAATAGCATAAATGCGGCCCACACCAATTAGGGAAGGAGCCGGTGCTGGGGAGTTTGTGACCTGAGGATAAAGATAAATTGCCATCGCTTCTACACTGCGGGCGGGACTCCTCTGGCTTTTGGCTCTCCTCGACCTCCCTTAGTCAGAGCAGTCAGCAGTCTATACAGCAAACATGCTAAACCCTCTCGATGACTCCATGCTCGTCGGGGCGTTCAACCCCGTCGAGGGCAAGGTCGTCTCGGTTCCCAGCCACCAGGTCATCAACGAGAAGAAGGTCGTCACTATTCCCAGCAACTTGCCCCTGGATGAGAAAGTGCACCTCGCTGTCGACGATGCCGAGACTGGCAGTGATGTCATGAAGACGGCACCCCCTCTGCGCCATGGCGACGGCGACAGTGACAATGAGGACAGTGAGGGCACCATCATCAGAACGGGTGCTGATGCCGCCAACCACCTGCTGCCGATGCGTGATGATTGCGAGCCCGCCCTAACCTTTCGAAGTCTCCTTCTGGCCACTTGTCTCGCGGCTTTCCAAGCCGTCATGCGCCAGATCTACTCTGTGAGTTGACACGTGGGCTCAAATTCCAAGACGATAGCATAGGCTGACGCTGGGTCCAGTTCAAACCCACTCAGATCACCATCTCGGGTACATTCATTACCCTCATAGCCTACTTTCTGGGCAAAGCCTGGGCCAACGTTCTTCCCCGGGGTGATCATTTCGAGGCTCGGTGGAGGGAGAAGGGTGGCCAGGGCAAACCACCCCGATGGATCGCGCTCATCTCCTTTTTCAACCATGGGCCTTGGAACCTGAAGGAGCACGCAATATGTGCCATTACTGCCACTTCGGCCTCCAACGCTGTCGAGAGTATTCAGGTCTTCGCCGCGCAAGATATCTTCTACGACCTGCCTTTGAAGCCGGCCACCGTTATTTTAAGTGTGATCTCGATTGGGCTGTTTGGCTACGGCATCTGCGGTATCATGCGTCCCATTACCGTCTGGCATGTCGAGGCTGTTTACTGGAGTAGTCTCCCCACGATCAAAACTCTCCAAGGACTCCATTGGCAGGACCTGAAGAACTCCAAGCCGCTCCGATTCTTCTGGTACAGTTTCACCGGCATGTTCGCCTACGAGTTCCTCCCTGCCTACATTTGGCCATGGCTGAATTCCATCTCGATCCCCTGCCTGGCCGCAATGCACGCTACTGGGGCCAAGGCAGCCGTACTCACCAATCTCTTCGGCGGTTCCATCAATAACGAGGGACTGGGGCTCTTCAGTCTGTCTTTGGACTGGCAATATGTAAGACAACCTCCCTAAGTTCCCGCAAAGTCGACTGACTGAACCCAACCTCTTGCAGATTACTTCCTTCAACACCTCTTTGCCTCTCAAGCTGCAAGCCCATGCAGCCGCGGGCTACCTTGTCTGCTTTGCCGCCATGCTCGGCATCTATTATACCAATGCGTGGGATGCAATGTCCCAGCCATTCATGTCGACGCGGCTTCGATCCGAGGACGGCTCAACGTACCCAAGTGCCCAGGTTTTTTCCGGGGCTGTGCTCAACGAAACCGCCTTGGCCGAGTATGGTATCCCCAGACTGACCGGGAGTTTCGCGTATTCAATGTTCATGGCGAATGCTGCCGTAAGTACCTCTACCTTGTACCCAAGCCTCGTGCCATTACCACCCATCACTTGTCCTCACCGCGGACTAAGCATCATTTTTTTTGTCTTCTAGATCGGTGCCCTCGTTGCCCACTGCTTCCTCTTCTGGGGCGGTGACATCGTCAGGGCGTACAAGAGCGCCAAAAGCGGATCATGCGATGATCGACACCATGCCTACATGGCAAAGCACTACAAGGAAACACCATGGTGGTGGTACGTCGCCGTGCTGGTGTTCAGTTTCGTGCTTGGGCTCGTCGTCGTCATCACGCAGAAAATTACCCTTCCGGTTTGGGCCTACATTGTGTCGCTCCTATTAGGAATATTCATCGCACCCTTGGTGAGTTCTCGGTGTCCGAAAGGCTTGCGCTGAAGAGCCAAGTTGTCTGACGCTAACCTACCCTACTGCAGAGCACCATTCTTTATTCCCGTTTCGGCAATGGTATTGCCACGAACAATCTGTCGAAAATGCTGGCGGGTCTCATGCTCCCTGGACGCCCCGTTGGTAACATGTATTTTGCTGCGTGGTCGCACAGCGTCATCGCCAATGCCGTCAACCTGTCCAACGATCTGAAGATGGGCGAATATCGTACGTGCTTTATTTTTCCGTGCCCCCCAATCCACCCGTAGGCCTGCAATGCTAATTCCATCGATGTCCAGTCAAGATTCCTCCTCGTGCCATGTTCCTTACTCAAATCTATGGGACCGTACTGGGCGGTTTCATCAACTATGCCGTCATGATCTCCATTGTCAGTGGTAATCGCGAATTACTTGCTAACACCGACGGCTACAATGGCTGGAGTGGTGCCACCATTCAGTCGTATAATACCAACGCAACCTCTTGGGCCCTGGCCAAGTACCTCTATGCCAGAGGTACCAGGTACGAGATGGTTCCCGTAGGACTAGCCATTGGTATCGGCGTCGTTGTCATCCACCGTATCTTTGTCTACGTGAGTGTACCACCGCCCCCTCTTCTCTCTTCCGAATCCCTCCGACCCGGTCTGCTAATTCCGAGTGATCTTAGTTCGTCCCCAAGATCCGCAGCTTCGCGACCACGGAGATAAATATGCCTCAGTTCATCCAATACGCCGGCTACATCCCCTACAATGCGTCCCAGACCTGCGTCATCTTCAGCCAGGTCATCGCCGGGTTTATCACCCAGCTCTACCTCCGCAACTACCGCCCGCGCATCTTCAAGGACTACTCGTACTTGGTTACTAGCGCTTTTGACGGCGCCAGTCTCTCGGTGCTGTTTATCTTGTCGTTTGCCGTCTTTGGCGCTGGGGGTCCGCCGCGCCCCTTTCCCTCTTGGTGGGGTAATAATGCGGATGGGAATTACGATTTTTGCCCTTCAGCTGAGTGAAGTACGGGCTTGGGGGCAAGGCTCAGCTCAACTGAATTACAACCCATCATGACCCGTATTTCAAGCCTATCGAATTAAGGCGCTTAACTATAAGGCTACGTCGCTTAAATGCCGCGCTACCTACGAAGAAGCTAGTACTACCGTCAATCTAGAGACATTTATCACTAGATATTTCCAATCTGCGAAAACAATATATCGTGAATAGTTTCATTAAACAGTTCGATCGTATATGCATCCAGCAACTGAACGGTGACAGGCCTTTTGCCGAGCGAGTCATAGCACCCTAATTTATGTCCTATCATCCAGTACCTGTCGCTATCGATTGGCATCCAGAGTAGTAGAAGAATAATCCAGCAGTACAACCGCTACTACCAGACCGTTCAGGACGCTCGATAAAGATGCCCTGTGATGTAGGTGCATATGGGGTGTGAATTATTGTAGTAGGCCTGTCACAGCTCTTTTATAGCTCTTATCTTATCTTATCTATCTTATCTATAGCTACAGGGTCACGTATCACCCTGGTATCATTCACATCGCCCATCCAATGGTGGCCAAATCTGTTATTCTGCCACTTTACCTCCGGGGATATTTTGGGTAGTCCTTTGAGCCGTAGGAGCTTCCCAAGCATGCGTCAGCATGGGCGTTCAAGACAAGACGCTGGTATCAATACTCTCTTTTATTGACCTTTGTTGCATCCGGAGATGATGGTCTGGGATCGTATTCGTCATGAAGCTTTATTTCTAGCATCGAGAAGGCTTGAAAGCCATGCAACCAGTATATCTATGGAAATTTAAGCGCGGATATTACTCGAGTGTCCTATGTTCGCGACTTTCCGTCTTCCCTGGCTCAATATGTAGAGGTTGACTGACTCCAGGGTCTTTAATGAGCAGCCAGAGACAGTTGTCAACAATTAATTCAGTCCGGTCATCGAGAAACAGCGAAATCTGCCGGACGCCGTCGTATCTCGGGCAAAAAGGTTAAATAACCAAACGTGTAACGTAGTCCACAAGCGAACGGGTTACCCAACCGAACGGGTCACGCCCATAGCAAAAAATAGAACTAAACTTCCTAACTTTACCACGCAACTAATTCTCGATGGATTCTGCTCAAAAAGAATCTCAATTACTCCTTGCAACTCAGGCTATCAGAAATGACTCAACACTTAGTATCCGACGTGCTGCAACAATTTACAAAGTCTCGAATACTACTCTCCAGGCGCGTCTTCAAAAACGTCAATCACGTCGCAATATCGAAGCCAACGGTCGGAATTTAACAAAACTAGAAGAAAATACGATTATTCAAAGGATAATTGAGCTAGATTCGCAAGCATTTCCTCCCCGACTAAGTGCTGTTGAAGATATGGCAAACCGACTGCTACGCGACTCGCATATCACAAAGGAGGACTTTCTTCCGGCATTTTGCGACGCGTTCAAGAAGAGCCTGACCGAAAGCAATATTCGTGCAGGCTTTCAAGTGGCTGGGCTTGTGCCTTTAAGCCCAGATATTGTTATTGAGAAGCTGGATGTGAAATCACAGACTCCAACGTCCTCCCGGCCCCTTACGCGGGAAACCCTTCTTTGGGCTTCTCGGACGCCAAACAACCCAATCGAGGCTACTTCGCAATCCGAATTTATTAAATCTCGAATTTCAGGCATCAAAATATCTCCCCGACGTCAATTTACGATGCTATCGATCAGTTTTCGAAAGGAGCGCGGAGTATTATGCATAAGATGGCTTTACTCCAAGCTGAGGTCGCCGAAATTCGAGAGGCAAATACTCTAATTGGCAAGCGGCGCAGGGCCAAAAAACACGAGTACGGCTTGGAGGATCACTTAATTCACAAGACGTACAAGATCTTCAAGATCAAAAGGACGTTGCGCAGCAAGTACAGCAGGAAATGCGTGGAAATAGCGCTGGATCAAATCGTGGCCAGCCACGGCAACGGCGCTGTGGCGTATGCGGGAAGACCGGGCATAATGCGTGAACCTGTCAGGTAGAGATAGAATCATCTGGGCAAGAGTATTCTGAGTAGTTTTAATTGATTTACGGCGTTGTGGTTGCGAAATCGTGTTGAATTCCATGTTTTGCTAGTTGGCGTGACCCGTTCGGTTGGGTGACCCGTTCGCTTGTGTGGACTACGTTAACTAACCAAACATGATGACTTTGTCAACTCTTCACGATATTCCCCGGGTAATAGGACATTTCCTATATGCACCTGTAGTTGTCGCGCATCTATACTCGCCTTGTTAGTCTTCTTCTGTGGTAGTTCTACCCGATAACGCTGTCTGCGGGCAAGAGATCGTGAAAAGAGCTTGTACGGTGCAGTTGCACCATCGTATCGTGCTCATTTGATACTTGACCATGTGAGATGCCCATCAAACGATGAATGCCTGTCCTTATCTTTAATTTAAGAAAAACAATTTTCAGAAGTACGATGAAAAAATCAGGGCGCTATCAGTCACAAAGTCGCTTCTTCTTTAAGACTGTTGGAGTTGTCCAAATCACATGCTGTCAAGATAGCCGACTATTCTGCGGCTAACAGGGGCACTTAAAGATATGAACGAACCTTCCCCCACACACCTCGAAGCGCTCTAGTGCCTATTGTCCATACACAAACCCGGACTCTACGGAGAGACCGACGGGAAAAGCGTTTAGGGGTAGGATTTGGGGTGAGGCCATCCACTACGTACTACAACTATCTCGACTCATCCGTTATATACTCAGGCGACGTCCACAATTCCATCTCGAGGTCTTCCCAAGGTCGTCGCTTTGACCGTCGGGCTATGGGCAATCCCTATAGAAGCCAATCTTGACGAGATATTCTGGGTTTGGCAATTTTCTTGCAGATATGCCCATAAGCACAGTGCTGGATTTTGACTGGACTTTGCTAAGGGCAAATTCAGGTTTTCTGCAGCCGCCTCAGCCATCACCTTCATCTCGTCACATGCGCAATGTTGTGTTGGAAGAGGGCAACGACGCCTTTCGGAATGCCATGCACGTGGCCTGGTCCCGTTTTGCTAGGATAATATCCTCTAAATCGAGCGACGAGTCAACTTGTGAGGGTCTGTTGAGGATGCATCCGCATTGCAGACATTGCGGCTTAGATACAATCCCCAGCTATAGACTATTCACATTATTCACTACATATCCAAATGGCTGGTCGAAGCACGAGCTCTCGCCTCAACAGTGATGACCCGTCAACGCATTCCCCTGATCGTGGATCGCCAGCCTGTGCCTAGTCAATGCGCTGAAGTCTTCCAGGGTGTGGTTTTAAAGACGAGGTCCATCTTTCACTGCAACCTCGACTTCGGCCCACCGGATCGATGGCGTGTTGAGGGCCTTCTTGTGGAGCACTATGGTTGGTCTGGTCTCTGTACCAGTGGCAGTACCATTGGCATTGGAAGGAAAACGACGAGGTCTTCGAGACGGGCCCGCCACTGCCTCCAAGGACCGAAACTCTCCTCAAAAGCGTTCTGATTAAGTCGCCGCGATAAGTGCAGATGTTATTTCTGATGGTTGCAGCACATGCCATCATGCGGCGTGGACCCGAAGCGCTCACAATGGTATATGGTTGAACTTCAGACGTGTGAGCAGGACGGGTGTAAAGATTGGATCTTATGTATGGCCCAAATCATGCACTTTTAAAGTTAATATCCAGATTGTAATCATTCCTACATTCACCAGGTTCCGTGATACCCTGAAGTCTGCACGCAACGAAGAAACCTAGAGAGGCTTATTTTACGGTAAGTTGACTACTATGACTACGTTAGAACGAAGGATGGAATGAGTTGGCCAACTCGAAATTTACTAATATGGTCGGTAAGCCAAATGTTTTTCGACTTCAGCGAGAGTATAATCTCAACCTATCTAACGCCGAAAACACAACTTCCTATCGATAAACCAACGAGAAAAGGGCTAAACATTTTGCTCTGAGCCAAGCAAATTGGGTCCTTCCAAGGGGTATATTGCACAGGTACCTTAGATTTGAGCAGAAATGTCCAAGAGGCGGATTTCAGTGACTCTTAACAAATTGTTAATTAGGGGAATGTGAATTAGTGTCACTGTCACATGGCAAGAGCAAACGCAAGACGTATTCGAGAGATTATTGTCCATTCCAGCTATTACTAGGTAATTAGGTTTACTCCTTCATGATATCTGTTTTCAAGTTCCCAGACAATTCTCGACAACCCCACTTGTCATTTCTCGAATTGTTTTGCCAAAATCCCATATCGCTTAAGCAGTGGTGGCATCAAACTCCAGGGCAGTGGACGGTAGGCCAGCAGCCTCGACATCCTGGGAGATGTTGTTGTCGAGCTTCTTCTGCTCAGCGGCAATCTCATCGGCGACATCAGCGCCCTGAGCCTGCTCGATCTGGAGGCGGAGCAGGGTGGCCTCGAGCTTGAGGACCTTGTTCTTTATCTTGCCGCGCTGGAGGGCGTCAGCCTCCTCGCCGTCGGCTTCGTCGATGGCCGGGTTGAAGGCCCCCTCCTCGGCGTCGTTGCAGATGCTGTTGACCGAGCTGAGGAAGTCGATGTCGGCCTCGTCCGCATTATCGATGTCGAGCGCAGAGAAGACAGCTAGGGCCTCGGCCTCGGCGTTACCGGCAACTCCGCCAGAAATGGAGATGTCGTTGTAGGTCTGCGTGGTGAAGACGCCGCGCTTGTGGGCCTTGTTGCTCAGGCTGGTCGGGGCGGCGATGGCGGAGGCAGCAAAGGCGGCCACGAAGGCGGTGGTGAAACGCATAGTGATGGATGTTGAGGCTGAAGTTTTGATTATAGTGATTGACTGATCGTATGGATTTGCTCGACTAGCGAAACAAATGTGAAGATTGACAAAAAATGATCGAGGAGTTGGCTAGAAGTGAAAGACAGCACAGCTGTAAGTGGGTGAAGAGAGAAGAAGAAGACCGGGCTGAGGAATGATTGGCTCGAAGTGTGATGATGAGAGAGAAGGGAAACCAGGTTGGAGGCCGGACAGTCGAATATCTTATAGTCTTCAGATTTCCATACGACCAGACCACCGACCTCTTGGGTTTGGCTCCTCATCCCGACGATCTTCTGCTTTCAGCATCGTGACTTGAGCCTCACGCGCGCATATTGCTCTCTCAGTCTTGGCTGCATGTGGACCCGAGACGGAACATGAGATGGTGAAGGGCTTGGCCGCTTGGCTGCGCTTGGCTAAGCTTGGCTGAAACCGTGTCTGCTCCTGTTTTCTGGATCTGCCAAGATGCCAATGAGTGTCTCGCCTAATGACAGGACGAACATTCGGATGCGCGATCGTCATAGTACAAATGAATAAGATGATACCTGGTGTTTTCGACTCTTGGCTTACATCCACTTCATGAAGGAAGTGGGCTGCGTTTTACGGCTCAATCGCGCCATCAACGTCACGGCGGGATCCCGTTAGTGCTACTCCACTCCATATGAATATGAATTTGGTGCACTATCGACTGATGATTTGTTACCGCGATTTGTTTATTACCTTGGGGTATTCTCAGTTAAGGTTATTTCAACTCACAAAAACATATTCTGCAATATTCTATCGCAGATCTAGGAAGTCTGGTTGGGACACAGCACGGCAGATCTGTATCCACAAGAGCCTGCATCGGAATTCCAGAAACACACATATCAGATGGTTTCCAGTCGCATCGATCTGTGGATATCGATTGCGCATGCAGTAGCAAAAGTCATCAACTGCATCCACCTCGTCGTAGCAGCACCTCCTTCCTGTCACATAAGTGACCATTGCAGGCCCAAAACCGAGGTCATCATAACTTCCGCAAACAGGAACCGTCTTGGCAGCTTGGCAACAGGGATGAAAAGTCAGACAAGCCAGACAAGCTCCGGGGGTCCACTTCGTCTGAAGACTCAACCTCAAGAAGGTAGGGGATTGTTTGACCGACGGCGGTTGAAGTCGGGACGGCGTCTGTGCCGAACTGGATACCCCGAAAACAATGGCATATTCGACGAAACACTCGTAAGCGCTCGGATGCCAATACCAGGAACCGATTTGTCGTCCGATATCCAGTGTTGTGATACTAATACCGGCATGAGATCTTCACGGTGATGATACTTCAACGAAGTACCGGTATGATTGAAGGGAAATGAACGAGAACGCGCTTATGCTACCGATTATGCTGATCCCGTAGTTACTAGGACGGTGCAGGTCCACCTACCAGCTTGGGATTTCCTTCTTCTCAGAACGTCAAACAAATTAGCTCCGTCGTATGTTCACTGTTCCTATTGGGTGACCTGGCCACTTGGCAGTGCCAACTGTGTCTCGCTTCTTGGTCAGTTTTTCCACTTTCTGACGGGGCCACGCTTGGGCTGATGTGTCAGAAATTTCCACTTCGCGTCTCGCCAACGTCGAATTCCATCTCCACACAACTCACCCAAATGGCTGGCCTGTGCGGCCCCTAGTTATCAGTGGTACTTTGCGCCAGCGCTGCCAGTTTTGGTGTACTCATAGACCCTGATTGGCCAATACCAAAAATCCTCAGGATGTTGAAAGATTGCCGCCATATATCGATTTGGATCTCAGGGGTCCAGAGATGGGAATTTTGTGAGGATGGCTTCAGGGGCTACAGTAGATTCGACTGACACAGATTGTCGTTCCTCTGCTGTCTAGAGAGATAAGAACCTGCTCACGAGCCACTCTATGGATGACAAAACCCCAATGACATTTCATGATTTGTAATTTATGAAATCGTTGTACATAGTCATTACGGACTGGACCGCATCAGGATAATAAGTGAATGAGCAATTTCAACCTTCCAATGGTATTCGAATCCACTTACATGTACAGCGGGAATAACGATATACTTCCCCTGCCACTCCCTGTCCACGGAAGAAGCTAGCCAATAGCCAAGGCAGGCTAACACGATATCCCGAGATATCAGACCAGCCTGCGCGAAATTAGTGTTGTATTCAATGTTTTTCGTCGTACCGCTAGCAGGGTACAGCAACTTCATCTCCGTCAGTTCATCGACGGTAAAGTGTGAGAGGCACCCTCGAAGAGCGTAGTCGAACCCGGCAGCTGACGAATTGACACCAATACTGGCATTGAACAGGGTCTGGTAATCGGGTGCTCGTAGGAAGCGAAGCTGGTTCATTCAATTGGTACTGTCATTCAGATTCAGTGTCAGGTGCAGATAAGCCACAGTGGCTTGCCGGGGTCTGGTCTATGCGAGGGTCGACAATGCATAAATAGACTGCTGTGAACCCCCTCTCTTGAAGAGCGGCAGCCATTAACTTGTCGTTGTTGAGTCCCCTACACTACACTGCTACTACCTACCTGGTAACTGGCAACCGAATTCTCTCTAACACTCTCGTCCTTCACTCTGTACTAGAAAATACCCGTGACATTCAGCAGTCTACTAATGACCCACTTGGCTTCCAGATCGTCGTAGTTATACTGCTTCACCCAGTACAGACTCCTGGCAAGGGCTCTGTTGAACAACTTGGGGCTAGTTTGACCACCATTGCCATCATCTGAGCAATGACCGAGCCCCCTCCGGCAGATTGACGCCATATACTGATGTTCTTGGGATCCTATCACAATATTTCATGTTTTCCCTGGCCCAAAGAAGAGCAGCTTGCTGATTAAGCAGTCCAACATTCTGATAAGCGTCCCTGGACTCTCTGATTTCCTTTTCGGAGAGAAAACCAAAAACGCTCTGTCGATAGCTGTGGTATACGAACATGAAGTCGTTGTCGATACTGACATTCAGCGAGGAGTAACCGTGCGGGGGAACGTCGAAAGAAGCTGTTCCATGGCTACAGGCTTGGCCGTGGATTTGGACCACGACTTGGCGCTTTGCACCACGCTTCCATGGTTTGGAGTAGAGCCCTAGAGAGAGACATTCTTCCATCCACCTGGTTATAAAATGGCATGAGGCATATGATTGGACCGTATTGAAAGTGCCGCTAGTGATTGGTCGGGGCGGTTGTGGAGCCTGGAAGCGGTAGTTTCCCGTGGGAGGGGCGGCCAAGAGGATTCTGTGGTAACGTAATCCACATATAAGCGGGCCACACCCCTTAGCGGGCCACCTATTTCGGCTCTGTCGAATTGGCTTAACTTAACAATATTATTAATTTCTACGTCGATTTTTATCGCTAGATCTTCATTCTTTCGTCGAATAGATCATGAAGACTAGATTAAGAAAGCTATCAAGTCTATTCGTTCTAGGGAAGTCCCTAATATACGTAAAGTAGCCGAGCTTTTTAGGGTCCCTAGAATAACCCTCTAAGCCCGAATTTAAGGCCGCTGGAGCTGGACTACCGCCTATTAACGCCGATAGCGATTATTACCTACCGAAGAAGCTAGATCTATGTCACGGTGAGCACAATTGAAGAGTCAAAACTGTGACGGGCTCACTGCGAAAGTATACAGCTCAACATGGCCAAATACTGTTAATTATCTAACTGAGGAGGAAAGTAAAATAAGCGAGTTTTCCGAGAACACAAACTATGTTTTTATATGCCCTCGATGGTTCCTTTGTGTCAGAGAACAGAATGCCATAGGCACCAGTGGGTGTCAGGACACTGAACGCAAGACACCGGTGGGGCGCCGGAGGGGTGTTTCGGACAAAAGACTCCCGAGTCATGATTACAATCTATGTGAAGCTTTGGGATGACGAGAGTCAAGATCCTTGGCATCGCCGACCCTGCTGTTATGCCGGGTCCAAGCGGCGGCCTAGCTATCTATATAAGGACCATCTCGAAGTAGGATAGGGAAGGAGCAGAGATCAATGCATCACCGTGGGCACCCCTACCTGAGACCGCCAGTGACCACCCGGTGCTACGTAGGAGGGACGCCCGTTACTCCCCATCACTCTGTACTATTGCCTTCGGCCTAGCCGTACCCTGACACTTTGTTGGATCCGGACTGTTAGGCAACCTTGGTGGGCTTTGCCAAGACCACCAAGGTTACCACGTGACTTAGCCCTTCGGGACTAAGTCCAACCTTCGTGCTCCATAGGACTAGATAGAATGTCATGCTTTTACAACCTCACAAATCTTTGACCACCTTTGCGTGTAACAATGCAATCCTTGCCACTACGCCACCGTACCAGATGTCTTCACCAAAAGAGACCAATACCAAAGTCCCTGACTTTGATATCTGCAACCACTTATCAATCTGTTCAGACCAGTGTAGGTCAATCACGTGACAACCGTCACAATCTTTACTAAACGCGTTTAGAAGGAATTACCGCTCGATTCTGATGTATTTAGTTGAAAATAGCGTTATAAATAGCTTCAACTTTGCTTATTATATGTAAAGATAGGTGCGGCTGGGTGCCAGGGAAGGTGACTACGGTTGGGCTCTCACGGAAGTCAATTCCAAGAAGTGAGGTGTTTTGTTGACTTCTATCTGCCGAGCTAAGTGTTGCGCGTTTGGCCCCTTTTGAGGAGCTCAATCTCCGACAATTATCCGATCGCTCGGCGATTTCAGCCACACAGCCACACTGTCCTTGACCTCACATTAGACTGTTACTGATTATCCTCTTATTATACCAAAAATGGTAGCCCGCTAAGAGGTGTGGCCCGCTTATAGGTGGATTACGTTATTCGGTAATGCTGTAGATGTCGGGGTATCCTTCACTGAGCTCGCCTTGTTATAGTAATATGAGAGGGGACTTCTTAGGCACCGGAAAGATTATGGGGCGCTCTATACTCAAACAAACTATTATGAAGAAGCCAAAACACTCACTCCGGGTTTTATGCGGAAGGTTCATTCAGCACTACTTATTTACCAGTAGGGTTTTACAACAGCTCCCTACTTATCCTATTCTCATTGACTCGAGTTCCCGCGTAAACTGACGATCGGATTGAATGGACGCATGCACTTGATGTGGGGCACATACCATCATTATGCTCCTGTCGGCCTAAAAGGGATACGCAGGAGAGGGCCCAGGATAGGTTGAAATTGCTGCCGCATGGTTTGTAGACGGATACGCAATAGATTTCGATTGTTATGGTGAAGCAGAGTATCAAACCTGAGTCCCGAAAGATCGTGTGTTTTGAAACGCCAAAGTCAATTAGGTTAGATGTGTAAATAAGACCTTTCCAATAATACAATCATACTTCGTCCCCCCTTCAAGCTTTGAGCCTTCCAACAATCTAATTTTGTCTCTCTCCGTTTACAATAGATGACCAATACATGATTCTTTTCCAAAATCCCAATACCCATGTTCACACGACAACTTACAAAAGGAAAATGCATGCGATATGCTGACAAAATCTGTACACCCTTCCAATGAGACCCGTACATGCAACGACACCGTCATGACCCCAAGTCGTTCCTGTCCTTCCTTTCTTTCCCACACATACAGACTATTCCACAAACTATCCCACAAAGCCTAGAAAATTAAGGAAACCCACCAATATCGTGATGTCGCCTACCCACAGCAGTATCTGTATGTCGCTCAACGTGAAACAGATCGGACCAGCCCCTTACACGACCAACTCACTCTCCCCCTCCAAACCTCCCAACAATAGCCGTCAATCCTTCCTCCCCCGTGGCGATCCATTCCTCGACCCGCCCTTCTCTTTCCCCTCCTTTCCATCCTTATCTCTCTTCAAGATCAACACACTTCCTGCCCGATCCTGCGGGTTCCTCACAAACATCAAGCTGCTCGACCTCGTCCTCGTATGCTGCCTTGGCCTCGAGCTGTCCCTATTCTGCGACTGCATCCGCACTGTCTGCAGCGAGTTGACCACGACCTGCAGCTCGTGCACCTGCGTGCTGAAGTTGGTGCATTGGCCTTTCGCCTTTTCGAGTTCTTGGGTTGCGGAGGCGAGCTGGGTCGAGAGGAATTGCGTCTCGGCGGTTAGGGCGGGTACGCGGTCTGCTTCCGTCTGGAGAGCTTTGATTTTTTCGTCTAGGGAGGTGGAATGGGCCTCGAGATCGCCTTTTTGTTTCTCTAGTTCAGCTTTTTCCGTCTCTAGTGCGGACTTGGCTTCTTCAAGGGTAGCCGTCTTGGATTCAAGGTCCTTGTTCGTCTCCTCCAGTTTGGCAGTCTTGTCAGCGAGCTCCTTGTTGGACTCTTCGAGTTTGCTGGTCTTCTCCTCGAGCTCTTTGTTGACAATGACCAGCTGGTCGCTGGAGTACTTGTCAATTTCGGCTTGGAGGCCCTTGGTTCGCTCTTCGAGCTCCTCGTGTTCTTTGCGCAGCTTCTCGAGGTCCCCGGTTGTCTCTTCGCCTATTACCTCGCTTTCGTCGAGGTCTTCCTGTAGAGTCTTGGCGCGTTCATCAAGTTTCTGGTGTTCTTGGCGTAGCTTCTCGAGCTCGCCCATCTTCTGCTCGCTTTCTGATTTTAGAGTGTCGGTGATTCCCTTGAGACCGTCGAGTTCGCCCTGAACGGTCGTGAGATTGGCCTGCAGGTCGGCGATTTTGGTGTCTAATCCGAGCTTCTCTGAGGCGAGACACACATTGGCGTCTTTGGCTCCGGCGAGTTCGCTGGTTAGACTATCGATCTGCGCTTGCTTTTCGTTTCTCTCGTCTTCAAGCTGCTTCTCAAGCGCTAGCTTGTCGGGTTCGGCTGCGTCGATCTGGGCTTTGAGTGTGACAATCTCGCCTTCTAGCCCTTCGATCCTGTTTTGAAGAGCGATCTTTTCTTCTTCGAATTCCTTGGTACGAGCCTCCTGTCCGTCGGCAAACTCCTTGGCTTGAGTTGCCATCTTGTCTTCAAGATCCTTGACTTGAGTCGCCATTTGGTCTTCAAGTTCATTAACTTGGATGGCGTGGATCGCCTTCTCGTCCTCGACCTCCTTGATACGAGCGTCTTTCTCGTCTTCGAGCTCCTTGATACGAGCGTCTTTCTCGTCTTCGAGCTCCTTGATACTAGCGTCTTTCTCGGCTTCAAGCTCCTTGATGCGAGCGTCTTTCTCGTCTTCAAGCTCCTTGATGCAAGCGTCTATCTCGTCTCCAAGCTCCTTGATCCGAGCTGCTCTGTCATCTTCAAGTTCCTTGATGCGAGTTGCACTTTCCTCCTCAACCTCCTTGATGCGAACTTGAAGTCTTCCGTGTTCCTCCACGAGGACGGTCTTCTCCTCGATCAATGCTTTCCGTGCCTCTGTCAATTCCTTGACTTGGGCTAGGTGCTGCTCCGACTCCTTCTGGAGCGCTTCCCGCTCAGCGACCAGGAACTTGACCTGCTCATCTCGATCAGCCACTCGCTTTTCAAGAGCCCCTGCAGCTTTCTCAAAGGCAACGACTTGTCGCATGAGCGTGTTTTCCTGGTCACTGAGCTCCGTCGCGCGAGTATTTGTGTCCTTGGTCAGCTTCCTAAGCTGTATCTCAGTCTTATCCCTAGCCTGCTTCAGGCTGTTGCGCTCTGCCTCAACCGCATCTAGCATGGATTTCTGGAAGTCGAAGTTACTGCGGTACTCATCGAAAATCCTCCTCTGCTCCTCGAGATCTCGCAGAATGAGCTCCTTGGAGTTTCGTTCCAGCCTGAGGGCTTTCTCAATCTCCCTGCTCTCTTGCCCCTTGGTGGACAGCCGCTCAGCGGCGTCGGAGAGATCTTT